ATGTCAAGTAAAAAGCCAACAACAACCAAGGCCAACCAAGTGACCAGTTGCATACTCCTCTCATTAAAATGAGAACACTCCAAGTAGAAAACACCAGCAGAAACGGCCACTGACACAACTTATCCTCATGTTCCACAAGGACCAAGCCAACTACCAAATGAACTAACAGAAATACATAAACAGTAAAAGGAGCCAGTGAACTGCCCCGAAACCCTACAACAAAAGTCAAATTGCACATTTGAAAATGGCACCAACCACCATTTCAAGAATTCAACTGGACTATCATTTCGCAACCCAACTTATGCACAAGCTCTACTGTCAAACATCTAAAGGCAAGCGAGTAAATCCAGATTACAACCAAAAGGTCATTTCATGGCAGAAATTGCGGGAAAAAAAAAAAGAAGGATAATTCATTACTTGGTAGTAACAAAAGGAAATCAATTTACTGTGAAAATTCAACATTAAAAAACACAACTGCCAAATTTGACCAGAAATTTATTATTCAAGAACCGCTAAATCAAGATTACATGCTCTAATCTAAACACAATTGAACACAAAAGTATCAGAAGGTCAATAAGCTCCAAGAAAAATCCCAGATTACAACCAAAAGCTCATTTCCTGGCAGAAATTGTGGGGAAAAAAAAAAAAGAAGGATAATTCCTTACTTGGTAGTAACAAAAGGAAATCAATTTACTGTGAAAATTCAGCATTAAAAAACACAACTGCCAAATTTGAGCAGAAATTTATTTTTCAAGAACCGCTAAGTCAAGATTACATGCTCTAATCTAAACACAATTGAACACAAAAGTATCAAAAGGTCAATAAGCTCCAAGGAAAATCCTAACTACAAAACGAGCACAGAGACAAGATTGTCGAAAATACACAAAAAAGATCCAATGATTACAACAAATATTTCCTACTCAAAACCGATGCACAACAAAATTAGCCCTATAAGCTTCAGTTTTCGCACATTTTTATAACACGAATAAAAAAATGCAACGATAAATAGAATCGCACGCACATATATATGAAATCAAAGAGCTCATATATAGGATAGTAAATTAGGGCACAGAGCAAGTGAAGACCGAGAAAACAAAGAAGAGGGAGAAAATTGAAAACCTTCTTCGTCCAGCCTTCAGGGGCTGGAAGCTCGATTGCGNACCGATGCACAACAAAATTAGCCCTATAAGCTTCAGTTTTCGCACATTTTTATAACACGAATAAAAAAAAGCAACGATAAATAGAATCGCACGCGCATATATATGAAATCAAAGAGCTCATATATAGGATAGTAAATTAGGGCACAGAGCAAGTGAAGACCGAGAAAACGAAGAAGATGGAGAAAATTGAAAACCTTCTTCGTCCAGCCTTCAGGGGCTGGAAGCTCGATTGCGACGGCTTCGTCTCCCCTCTCCGTCTGGTTGTCGGTGCTGTGATTGTTCTCCATTCCCTCTCCTTCGTCGTCGTCCCTCTCTTCTCTCTCTCTCAATTTCCAAAAGCTCGACACTTCCCGCTTCTCTCTCTCCTACACTCTTTGCTCTGGAATAAAAGAACGGGCAAAATAGAAGTAATGTGCCGTATATATAGGGGGCGTCTTTAGATTTGTCTCATTCCGGAGCGGAACACGTGGCCGTGTGGGAACTGGACGTCACGGAAATATAAAACTGGATTGGAATGTTCGGATCGGCATCTTTGCGGATACCTTTAAACAGAAAATTTTGGTACTATATTAAAAAAAAAAAAACTATAAATTATAGGCTACAAATTCTAGCAGGGACAGAAATTGGAGTGATCACTAAACATATTTTTTTTTTAATTTTCATAATTTTTTAAACAAAACTTTTTATTAAACAAATTTTTTGTTCTAACTTTTTATCATAATATATATATATATATATATATATATATATATATTTTTTTTTTGTAAACACAAAAAATAAAAACGTTATCAAATGAATCATCCTATTAAAATCTAACTAAAAATTTGTAATTTATATTTTTTTTATAAAAACATTCTCACATGCTATCAGCCCTCAACATACATTCAATCTATGAAAAATTTCAGTCACATTTTTTTTAATTTATCATATGTTTAAGAACATCTATTTTATTATCAAAAATATCATTGACTCTACATAAATTTTATTTTTAAACATCACTAACACCCCCTATATTAAACCACCATTTATAACACAAATAGATTATCTCAAATACTAAAATTGCCTCAACATAAACTTCAAATAATTTTTTTACATAAAATTTAATTAAAATTTGAGTCGATTAAAATTTATTTTTTTACATATTAAAATTCGAGCTTATTAAAAATTTTTTCTACATATTAAAATTTGAGTCGATTAAAATTCAATTTGACATACTTAAATTTTATTTTTTCTATGTATTAAAATTTGAATCTACTAAAAGTATTTTTTTTACGTATTAAAATTCGAGTCAATTTGAGCTATATGTGAACTATTAAAAATATAAATTTTAATTGACTAAAAAAATAATCAAATTTTAGTCAATTGAAAGCGAAATTTAATACGTAAAAAAAAGACTTTTAATTAACTCAAATTTTAAAACATACAAAAATTTAATTAGTTCAAATCGAATTTTAATCGATCTGAATTTTAATACGTACAAAATTTTAGAAAATAGATAAGGTGTCATCTATCTAGGGGGTATCGATGATGTTTTTCTTAAAATATATCATTGACAATTTAATAAAATTGTATTATAATTAACACATTAAATCTGATTGGGTGTCAGAGAATATTCAAAAAATTCTTAAAGATATGATAAAGTGAACGGATGTGACTAAAATTTTTCCTTCAATCTAATGATAAACATATCCCGGAAACTCTATAATTTTCAAAACTCAATTCGGTCCTTATATGAACAGTTTTTTCTATAAATAAGCTTTCGGATAAATTTTGGGGTGAAAAAGGTGAAATTTTACAAGTGACTTTTGACCATCGGATGCAATTTCGATTACTGTGAGACATTATGGAGTATATATTACAAAGACCGCTCTATTTTAGTATGTAGATAATTTACTCACAGTCTGTTGTAAGAACAACAAAACAAGTAGAAGAAATATTACGCATGTCATATTTTCAATTGTTGAAAATAATAATTAAATTTGTTTGAAAGTATAGCATGAGATTATTTTTTGTTATTAGGTCAAAGTTCTATCTTTTTAAAAAGATTAAAGACAGTTGTTTAAAATAATTCCACTGTTAAGTCCAAACTAATTGTAAAAAACTTTGTAATAACAAAAATACTATTGCAAATAAAGTTTTATCCATCCCTATATCTCACCTTCTTTTCTCTATTTTCTGTATCTCCATATTTTTATCTCTCAAAAAATTTAAATTTAATCAAAATTTTTATTACAATTTGGTCTTATAATTAAATTCATAACATTAAAAACTTAGAAATTAAAAAAAAAAAAATACTCAAAAGTAAACTCATATTTACTCCCACTCTCTATCTCTCTCGAATAAAAAAAAATTTGAAATTAAACACTCTTTCTCCCTTTATGTGGTAAAAAAATAAAAATATATATCTCGACTACATTAGCACATATTTCTTCTCTTTTATCTTCCTCTCACATAGAAAATTAAAAATAAATTATTTTTTTTAAAAAATAATATTAAAAATAAAAAGACCTCAATTTAATATTTTCGCCTTTTAAGGTTTAAATTAAATTGAGTTGAGCCACCCTTCTTGTAGTCACAGGCACTAAATGAGTGTAAATAATATGAAAATATTACGAGAATAGTATTTTGACAAACATGTGGTTTTTATTCATAAATTACAAAAAAATGCTTTAAAAAATAATAAAGGCAAAGCCTCCCTCCTCCTGCAGTAGCCTCTCGCCGTTGGTGCTCGAGNAGCTGAAAATTTGTAATTTATATTTTTTTTATAAAAACGTTCTCACATGCTATCAGCCCTCAACATACATTCAGTCTATGAAAAATTTCAGTCACATTTTTTTTAATTTATCATATGTTTAAGAACATCTATTTTATTATCAAAAAATATCATTGACTCTACATAAATTTTATTTTTAAACATCACTAACACCCCCTANTGATCCATCCCTATATCTCTCCTTCTTTTCTCTATTTTCTGTATCTCCATATTTTTATCTCTCAAAAAATTTAACTTGAATTAATTTTTTTATTGCAATAATTTGACCCTATAATAAAATTCATAACATTAAAAACTTAGAAATTAAAAAAAAAAAAAAATACTCAAAAGTAAACTCATATTTACTCCCACTCTCTATCTCTCTCGGATAAAAAAAAATTGAAATTAAACACTCTTTCTCTCTTTATGTGGTAAAAAAATAAAAATATATATCTCGACTACATTAGCACATATTTCTTCTCTTTTATCTCCCTCTTACATAGAAAATTAAAGATAAATTATTTTTTTTTAAAAATAATACTAAAAATAAAAAGACCTCAATTTAATATTTTCGCCTTTTAAGGTTTAAATTAAATTTACTTGAGCCGCCCTTCTTGTAATCACAGGCACTAAATGAGTGTAAATAATCTATATAATAAAATAGGAGTGTATTTGAATTTTATTCCAGACATATTTTTCCCCTTAAAACTATCATCAATCACTTACTTCATCCATCATCCCTTTGTCAGACTCAAAAGTTAAATCACATCACTCATTTTTATCACATATTTAATCATTTATATATTTATTCCCTAAAAATATCACATCACTCATTTCTATCATATATTTAATCATTTAATATTTAATTAATTTTTAGTTAATATATTTTGAAAAAATTTAATATAGTGGGATCGATTTTTTGGACGCTCAAATTTTATATTTTATCGTGCCTTCAGGTACGGGTTATGGCTAGTATGAAAATATTACGAGAATAGTATTTTGACAAACATGTGGTTTTTATTCATAAATTACAAAAAAATGCTTTAAAAATTAATAAAGGCAAAGCCTCCCTCCTCCTGCAGTAGCCTCTCGCCGTTGGTGCTCGAGATAAATCAAAATCCGAAACTGCAAGCTCTAGACAACAAGCCGACTCCACTCAGACCACTCCAACGACAAATCTCTTCCATCCCCTTCATTTGAACCTTCACCAAGGCAAAGGTTTGAGTGGATGGTTTTGAATAAAATGGGAGCGAATCGTACATAGCCTGTCGAGAGGTAACCCATCAATTATGATTTCTTCGTTTTTGATTGTTGTGTAATTTTTTAATTGTTGGACAGTAATTAGGGTTTATTTTTCCCTACCCATTGAACTTTTTGTCACAATAGTAGAAATTAGGCATTTAATAATCCTTTTTTGGTTGTTTTTGTAAATTTTTAATTTGTATATGAATGTATTCGGGGTATGTCCGCAGTGGTGTGACTCACATCAGCATCGTTAGAAGACGTATCGATCATTCTGGTCATCTGGGGATTTAAAGATTAGGCAAATACATTGTGAAATAGGTCAGTCTATTTTATGTTTATTCGTTGAAAATATAAAATTAGGGCTTGTAGTCCTTTATTGTGTTTTATTTTTTATGTATTGAATTGAAACTAGGGTTTGTAGTTCTTTATTTATTTTTCTACATTGAAATGAAATTGGGGCTTATAGTGCTCTTTTATGGTTTATTTTTCTATATATGTAATTGCTATTTGGGCTTGTAGTCCTCTCTTGTATTTTATTTTTATATGTTGAATTGGAATTGGGACTTGTAGTCCTCTCATTTGTTTTATTTTTACATGTTGAATTGGAATTGAAACTTGTAGTTCTTCATTTAGATCTTCCCATGTATAGATTCAATATATGATTGACCCCAATTTTTTGATTCAAATTTTTTTATTAAGTCTTATAGATAGATTTATAGAGACCTTTTTTTGTTGGCTCATTTTGTATATCGCTCATGTATATGGATTGCGCCTTTAATTGACATTCTATTAATGAAACTATACTTTTGTAAATACTTAAAATTTGAATATTAATGTGATCTACGTTGCCCCTGCTGGGGAAGATGTTTGACTCCACCCTTGTTGTTAAGTAACTGGTACTAATTTTCGTTGCTGTTATCTTTGTCAGGTGTGCGTTCTATATGTTCTGCTAGGTGATAGAGATGAGACAATCAGGACATTATGGTGATTCCGGTGGCAATGCTTATGTTGCCGCTCAGACGCAGAATATGTCCGTTCAGAGAATGGAACACAAGTCTGGTCAGTACCAAGGACGGCCAGAGTCATTGGCTTCTGAGAAGGATCATTCATATGGGACTTCAAAAGCGGATGGACATTTAAGATGGCAAAGAGATGGATCAAAAGCACCAAATGCAATGTCATCTCCTTTGTATAATGATGGCAAGTGTTGTTCTTTTGTTTTTGTTCTTTATTAACTACTCCATCTTTGTGCTTTTTTTCTTTTTTGAGTTGTCTGTGTTTCAAACTTGAACCATTTGCCTTCGTGATGTGTATGTTGCCTCTCTCTCTGAATTTCAATTATATGCTAAGGTAATCACGAAAGTTTTTCTGAAAAGCAAAGGTGAAATTAGTTATATGCCACGGGTTGTGCGCATGGTGTGCCCGTTGACACTTGCTATGTCCTTCAAGTTTGCCAGTTGAATTTCCCAATATGATTCTACTTTGACTGTAGTTCTTGCAAATGCCCGAGGTTGCTCGGTGTTTGATACTTTTTGTGAAGTTCTGCAGTGTCTGCTCCATTTTGTCAACTGCCTTATTGGTCCATTTATGGCATCAACTTTATTGTCCTATTAGACACTTAAANACGTTGAATTGGAATTGGGACTTGTAGTCCTCTCATTTGTTTTATTTTTACATGTTGAATTGGAATTGAAACTTGTAGTTCTCCATTTAGATCTTCCCATGTATAGATTCAATATATGATTGACCCCAATTTTTTGATTCAAATTTTTTTATTAAGTCTTATAGATAGATTTATAGTGACCTTTTTTTGTTGGCTCATTTTGTATATCGCTCATGTATATGGATTGCGCCTTTAATTGACATTCTATTAATGAAACTATACTTTTGTAAATACTTAAAATTTGAATATTAATGTGATCTACGTTGCCCCTGCTGGGGAAGATGTTTGACTCCACCCTTGTTGTTAAGTAACTGGTACTAATTTTCATTGCTGTTATCTTTGTCAGGTGTGCGTTCTATCTGTTCTGCTAGGTGATAGAGATGAGACAATCAGGACATTATGGTGATTCCGGTGGCAATGCTTATGTTGCCGCTCAGACGCAGAATATGTCCGTTCAGAGAATGGAACACAAGTCTGGTCAGTACCAAGGACGGCCAGAGTCATTGGCTTCTGAGAAGGATCATTCATATGGGACTTCAAAAGCGGATGGACATTTAAGATGGCAAAGAGATGGATCAAAAGCACCAAATGCAATGTCATCTCCTTTGTATAATGATGGCAAGTGTTGTTCTTTTGTTTTTGTTCTTTATTAACTACTCCATCTTTGTGCTTTTTTTCTTTTTTGAGTTGTCTGTGTTTCAAACTTGAACCATTTGCCTTCGTGATGTGTATGTTGCCTCTCTCTCTGAATTTCAATTATATGCTAAGGTAATCACGAAAGTTTTTCTGAAAAGCAAAGGTGAAATTAGTTATATGCCACGGGTTGTGCGCATGGTGTGCCCGTTGACACTTGCTATGTCCTTCAAGTTTGCCAGTTGAATTTCCCAATATGATTCTACTTTGACTGTAGTTCTTGCAAATGCCCGAGGTTGCTCGGTGTTTGATACTTTTTGTGAAGTTCTGCAGTGTCTGCTCCATTTTGTCAACTGCCTTATTGGTCCATTTATGGCATCAACTTTATTGTCCTATTAGACACTTAAAGCAAGATTGAGGCTGATTATTGATCTAGCCCATGTGACTGTATAACTTGTTTATTTGGGGGTGCAGCATGGGATCCTGTTTTACCAGTCAGATCTAGGTTATTGTTGGCCATTCCCTTCTTTTATGGGCTGAACTAATGTCTAGACCAAACTTAATTAGGGTCTTAAAGAAATCTGGAAGAGATTTCCGTCGAGTATTCGTGGCAAAACTGAGTTAAAGAAAGGGAGCCTGTAGGAGTTCCTTGGTGGCCAGTGAACTAATTAATTATAAAAGAGAAGGGACAGCAGAAAAATGAAAGCAAAATGGTGATGAAGGGCAGAGCTGTTGAAGGTCCAGCTTTTTCCTAGTGATTAATTAAAACATAAAGAATTATTTCTTGACTGAACCTTATGGTCGCACCTTCTTGGAACGGGTTTCGGGAGAGTACCACTTATACACACTATGCTAGCATATCACATTGGCAAGTCATGCATGTCAGCTGTTTTTGTACACCTTGTAGCACCACTACCCATCCAAAACTCTATGAAAGCAAAGGTAAAACAGTAACATTTATAGTGAACCACAGAAGGATTTATGTGTTGAATCACTTCTCCCAAGCTTCTTGGTGCATGCATATTATGTGTTCAAAATAATCAGCCTTGAAGGATATGGGTCGATATAAGTTGGAGATCTTAACACTTATTGAGAGAGTAACGAGTAGCTTTTTCAATTTACAATAATGTTGATTTACATTATGGGATTGATTTGATTTATGATTTTCTTTCTTGAGATGGAAGAATTAGCCCTCACTTGTACTTGTAGATGAGATCAAGCTTGGTTGAGTGTAAGGGTAGTTGCCATAGGCATGTCTCCTCAAATTGATAATCTGGCACATGCTTTAGATATGATATTGAGGTACTCAGTTTCGAGGATTTGCTAGTGAGTTCCTAGTTCATTATTCTAGAAATTTTCATGCATTCTGAGATCTATGTTTTTTGGACAGTATAATAAGTACCCCTAGCCCCTTGGCTGTTGGGGTTCGTAGATTTATGACACTGTAAGTCAGTTGGATATATGCACTTTTGATGCGGGTTGGTTCTTGGAATATAATGAAAGGTAGCACTCATCACAAAAAATTGGCCACTGCTTCCAGAATCTTAATGATAGAAATGGAACAATGATTCTAAATGGGGAAATAATGTGGGGGGAAAGCTGCTCAAGCTATCGCCAGGGAATTGCCATACATGAGAAATTATTGTCATTGGACATTGTTTGTAACCCAAAGGCAAAAAAGAATAGTTATTCAGATTGTTGAATTTTTTAATTACATCAGCTTAAATTTTGCCCAATATGCTTATTTAGCTTCTGAAGAAATGTAGTCGATTTGCCACAGACAACTAACTGGCATCCTGGATGATTAGTCTTGCAAAATTCTCTAATAGAGAGACACCGCGTTTCTCCTTTTTTTTATCCTATATTAGACCACAAGCATGAGGTATGCAAAAACTACGCATTCGTGTACAAAGCAGTGCATACGAAGTAACATGAATATCAGCGGTAGTCAGTCTATTTCCATTAATCCGCTGGCGGGAGTGAGAAGTTTGGGATATGTTTGGTGTTTCTTCCATCAATCATCCGGATCTATGTCGTACATCAACAGATTATGGTTTCGAGGGCCATCGATTACGAAAATACACCACCTACTATAACTAGACACTTTAATAATATACTGAATCTTGATTGACTTGTATTGATGCAATCCTTACTGCTATTTGGTACAAGTGGTAGTGGTTATTAACTTTTTTTTTTGTGGGTGCTGATCTTCTGGTACGGTTAGGAGTTATTTATACTGATCAATTGTTCTTGCTAAGGTAAATCGGTTTTGTACTAATGTATTTCAAATTTCAAGCACACCTGCAGAACTGATCCTTTGTTTCTATTAAGATAAGGTTTTTTCTAGAGGGTGATGTATGGTGAAGGATTGACTTGCTTTTACTTTATTAAAAGATGTTTTGAAATTTCACTGTAGTGCTCTCATCAAATTGCAACAGCTCTCTGTCACACCTGCATAAGTTGCCTACTGCTTGTTGATCCATGTTTGTACCTTTCTTTTATTTATCCATGTCTTATGCTCTATTAAGGAAGTCATTGTAAAGATTTAGGAGAAGATAGCCTGTTTGAAGTCAATTCTTCTTGGAAACAGCAACATAACAACACATATTTCCACCAATAAAACCTGTATCTTTTTCAGGTATTGCTTGCAGCTACACGAAATCATTCACAGAGCTACTCTTGTTCAAACTAGGCACTGTCAGCTTATGGGGGCCGACAATGACCATCCCATTGATAGTCTTATTATATGCTTCTCTTTATATTAGATGCCATTGTCATTGAAAGTGATATAGAAGTACAGTGCATAAGTTGCTTATTCCTTTTGCCCTTGGTCATGCTGTGGATTTTCACTTCTATGCTCATTCTGATTATTTTTTGGTGCTGGATCCGTCAAATTCTCAACCAAATGTGTTCAATTATGCGATTAAATGCATCTCTTTGGTTTGAAAACATCATGTCTGCTTCTCGATTTATATAACTTATTGATTGGTATTTGTAATTTTGGCAATTTTGTGAAGTTCACTGCTTAGAATATGCTGTCCTGTATGCTCAGCAGTTGCCATAGTTGGAATCTTACATTCAGCATTTATCTTTGTAATAAACTGATATGAATTTATCCAATATTGTTTTGTTAAAGTTCTGGTTCACTTTTATATGTGTTGGCTAATGTTATGGAGTGCACATATAATTAGATATGGTGTTTTGCAGTAGGGCAAGTGGGTGATGCATCTAGATCCTATTACCAGGGCCAAAGGCTAGATCCAAGAATGGCCTTAGAGAGACAAGGCCTCAAAGATCCCAGATCTCAGCCTCGTGAGGAAGACATGGAAGTTGGGTATGAGGATAATCTCTCGTCGCAGACTTTTGAAGGTCTTGAGCAGAAATTCCTTGATGACATCATGAAGCTAAGCAAGGAACAAACTGATGCAGAGGATGCAGAAAATGCTAGACATAGGCAGGTTAGTTTATTGTGAATTATCACCTATCTGTAGTATGCCCTTTATTATGCGTTCAAGTAGTAAGCACTTCCGAGGTAAGTCGTTTTCTGAAAAATCGTATCGTCATATGTTCTAGCTAGATACAGAGACTAAGATTATTATCATTTCCCATTTTGATATTGTTTTCATCATCCGTTGGTGAAGTAGGGTCCAAAACCTTCGAAGTTAGCCCCACATGTTCAGTTAGAAACTATATGCGGAAAAAACAAAAATTTCTTGTGAGGCCCAGTAACTGCACTAATAGGGTGACGTAGACACGCAGTCACTACCTAACTTGGCTCAATCTTTTGAGAACTGTCTGGCCTCAGTTTTATTTCCAGTAACCTGTGATTCAAGAATACGAAACTAATGGAGAGACCATTGTCATCTAATCGGTTAAACATTCTCAAAGCTACTATGTATTGCAACAACTAAGGATCCGAGCATATTTTCAAATCAGTGAATATGCCTTGATAAGTTGTAAAAAACTAGATGCATCAGTGGTCTCCAATTATACGCTTAGTCGCACTTTGGTTCTTTAATTATTAATCACACCTATTTGGTCAAAAGTGTGTTCAAAAGAATCAATTGCTGACTGCCACTTATGTTGATAACGAAATTGGTCACGTGCTTCATGTGATTGTAATTGAGGGGCATTTGGTGGAAAAAATTGACCAGCTAGAGTTAGAGTATATTTAGATATTTAGTTTTAGGGGTAGTTTATTCGTTTACTTTATTTGTGTTACCCTACAATATATATGACCTCTATTGTGTATTCTTACAATTATGTTGTTGCGTAGACTAAGGGTGCAAATATTATTCTCTCTTCTTTTCTGTTTTCTTTTCTTTCTTTCTTTGTCACTTTAATCATAGTTTTCATGGTATCAGAGCGGATTTCAATTCGAAACAAATTAGTGGCTTAGTAGAATAAATCAGAAGAAAATTGTGTGTTGAAGAGTAGAGGATGACGTCATCACGTGTTATGACATCAGTTGGAGGCATATGGGATCATCTTCTTGCTTGATTTTTTATGGTTTGTTATGAGTTGTTTTTGGGTTTGAGTTCATCTGGTAGGGTTTTTTAATTNACTTAGTTTTAGCGGTAGTTTATTCGTTTACTTTATTTGTGTTACCCTACAATATGTATGACCTCTATTGTGTATTCTTACAATTATGTTGTTGCGTAGACTAAGGGTGCAAATATTATTCTCTCTTCTTTTCTGTTTTCTTTTCTTTCTTTCTTTGTCACTTTAATCATAGTTTTCATGGTATCAGAGCGGATTTCAATTCGAAACAAATTAGTGGCTTAGTAGAATAAATCAGAAGAAAATTGTGTGTTGAAGAGTAGAGGATGACGTCATCACGTGTTATGACATCAGTTGGAGGCATATGGGACCATCTTCTTGCTTGATTTTTTATGGTTTGTTATGAGTTGTTTTTGGGTTTGAGTTCATCTGGTAGGGTTTTTTAATTTTTTGAAGATTTTTCGAACAGCTGTCCTAATCTCAGATCTGCAAGGTTTTGTGCAATTTTTTCACTGTTTCTCCCTAAAAGCTCTTCTAAGAGGTGCGACTTGGGGTTATTAATGCTTGATCACAGGTTTTACATCGTCTTGAACCATTTTAGAGGAATTTTTTTTGACTCTTTATGGCAAAAACTCTGTTCATCTTTGGCTCTCGGTTTTGGATCCTCCACTGTTAGTTGATCTGTTAGACTACTGATTTTGTTGTACATTGGGTTACCTCTTTACTGATTTGCAGATTTGTTTTTTGTTTGGGTTACGATTGCCAATCTATTTCACTCTGTTGCTTTTCACAATAGTAGACAACGTGTTTCCTTCTTTTGCTAGGAATTGCAGGCCTTTGTATTGTTGCTTTGGGCTGGGCTTAGTTGTTTTCTGTTTGGACTGGGCTTTGTTTGTTTGGCCTCAAGTAATTTGATTGTTATATGTTCTGTTGGTCTCAAATTTCGCTGTTTCTTTGCAGGATTGCATTTTTCATTCCATGTTGCTAATTTGCTGGATTTTTGCTGCTGGTTTGCTCTATTTCTTCTTTGTGCTATTGCTGTTTCTTTTGGGTGTCATTGGGTCATCTGAATGTTGGGTTCACTATTGTTTGGTTGCTGGTTATTGGCCTTAAATTTGGGTTTGGGTGGCTTTGGGTCATCTCTTGATTAGTTTGTGATTTTTTCGTTACTTTGGGCCATTTGTCCTAGTTTGCTGTTTTGAGGGTGTTAATCGAGATGAGTTATTCGGACTAAACTCAGATAAAACTCACCTCGTGTTTTAAATGAGCTGAGCTTGAACAATAATTTAGGCTTGTTTTCTCATTTAGAAAAACAAGCCTAAAAGGCTCGGGTCAAGTTCGCAAAGCTCGGTTCATTTATATATAAAATAGTTGAGTTGCTCGGGCTTAGCTCAGGGTTGGCTCGAGTTCTAAACGAGTCGAGCTTGAATAATTTTTTAGGTTCGTTTAGAAAAAAAAGCTCGTCAGGCTTGGATTCAAACTCACAAAGCTCGAGTCGATTAACACTTTTATGTGTGGTTGCTAGTTACCTTGGCTGCTATTGGTTTGGACTGGTCTTATCTAGGGACTTTGATCTTTTTGGATTTTGGTGGTTCTTACATTGAGCTTTGGAGATTTGGGCTCTAAATTTGGGTTAATTGCAATTATGGCCAATGGAAACACCGACTTTCTTCTAACTATGATTGTCAATCAGTTGCAAAAGCTTCTTCAGCAGCCTAATATTCTCTTAGTCTCTCTTTCCATGGGTTTGTTCACTTCGGGTCTTTCAGGTATATCTCAAACTATTTGGGTCTTTGACCTAGGTTTTCCACATCGCATGGCAAGTGATTCTTCCTTATTTGTATCTACNTCTTTCCATAGGTTTGTTCACTTCGGGTCTTTTAAGTATATCTCAAACTATTTGGGTCTTTGACCTAGGTTTTCCACATCGCATGGCAAGTGATTCTTCCTTATTTGTATCTACATTTTCTCCTCCATCTGTATTTGTGCTTGCAACCAATGGTACTCAAAATGATCTTGGCTAGTGTTGGGTCTTTTGTTGCTTCGCAACTAACACTTCCCAATGTTTTTTATATTCCATAGCTTACCTTGAATTTGATTCCAGTTAGTCAGTTATTTGACTATATATTTTCAGTTTATTTTTCTTCTTCCGGTTGTATTGTGCATGATCCACGTTTTAAGCTGATTGGGATAGGTAGTATAAAAAAAAAGGGTTGTATGTGTTGAACAAGTTGCATATTCTAGATATTATTGCCTCTTCTATTGGTTTGTCTTATTTTCATTTGAGTCCACAGTCTTCTAGCTTTTGTTAGTGGCAATCTCGTCTTTGTCATATTTCTCATTCACGTTTGAAATTTTTAGTAAGTTGGATAATTTAGAGTGTCATGACATTTCAGCTGTAGTGGATGCAAATTAGTTAAATTCAATGCATTACCCTTTAATAAAAGTTCGACTAGCTCTCTTGCACCTTTTGATTTGGTTCATTCAGATATATGGAGACCTGTTCTTTTTCCCTCTAAAGGAAGGTCTAGATATTATGTTTCTTTTATTGATGATTATACTATGTATTGTTGGATCTATCTAATTGAAATTGTAGAAACGGAACTAGGGTAAGAAAAAGAGAAGAAGACGAAAGAAAATAATTTGTGAGTTGTGTTGTCATACACTCTTATTTATATTGAACCCTATCTTAGGTAATTACAATATTACCCAACATAAACATAAAAACTGAAAATAAGCACTCTTAACATTCTCCGTCAAGTTGGTGCATAAAGATAAAAAAATGTCCAATTTAAAATAAAGATTATTAAAGGTACTATGAGACAATGGTTTGGTAAAAATATCACCCAATTGATCACCAGACTTGATATATGGAGTAACAATCTCTTTTTACATTAGGAGATCCCAAATAAAATGACAATCCACTTCTATGTTTTTGATGCACTCACGAAACACTAGATTACTGATAATGAAAATAGCTGCATAATTATCACAATACATTTGCATAGGAGAACTGGAGAAGATACACTAATCCCCATATCACAAAGTAAAGCACGCACCTACAACATTTCACACGCCATGTGAGCCATAGCCTGATATTCTGCCTTTGCACTTGAACATGCAAATATATTATGTTTCTTGCTACACCAAGCAGCAAGATTATCACCCACAAATGTGCAGTAACAAAAAGTAGATCGTCTATCAGTATGACTACCTGCCTAGGTAGCATTAGAAAAGCCAACAATAGTCGTACATGATGAATACCGATATAATAATATTTTCTCGGGTGTTCCTTTAAGATACCGGAAGATACGACACGTAGCCTCCCAATGATGCTTGTAAGGAGCATACATAAATTGACTACTTACTCCAACTGCAAATGTTAATTCAAGATGCGTAACTGTGAGGTAGATTAGTGTATTTGTCAATCTCCGATAGCGCCCTATGTCATCAAAAACTTTTCCATTATCAGCGTCTAACCTGACTGTAGAATCCATAGGGGTGTCAACTAGATGAGCACCAAGAGTACCAGCTTTATATAGCAAATCCAATACGTACTTTCGTTGGCATATATTGGTACCTTCTTTTGATCAAGTAACTTCAATACCTAGAAAGTAACGAAGAAGACCCAGATCCTTAGTGTGAAACTGTTTCTCCAAATATAGCTTAAAACTTGCAATACCATCAAAATTATCCCCACTAATGATAATGTCATCGACGTATACAATGAGAATGATAGAACAACGAATAAGCACTGAATGATCTGAAGTAGAATGCTGAAAATCATATTATCAAACCAAATACGTGGTGATTATTTTAGACGATATAGTCTTTCTTCTGGTGACATACTAATTGTTCTTTACCAGAAGTAACATAACATGGGAGTTGAACCATGTATACCTCCTCTTGTAAATCTCCATGTAAAAAAATATTTTTTATATCCAATTGACCCTTGCAAAGCACGTGGTGATTATTTTAGACAATATAGTCTTTCTTCATGTGACAATGACATACTAATTGTTCCTTACCAAAAGTAACATAACTTGGGGGTTGAACTATGTATACCTCCTCCCGTAAATCTCCATGTAAAAAAATATTTTTTATATCTAGTTGGTACATCTAGTTGGTATAAGGGTCTATCACGACAAGTTGCAATCAAAATAAGAGCTCTAACAGAGTTAAGTCGAACAACATGGAAAAAAGTCTCACTATAATCCACACCATATGTTTGGATGTAGACTTTGCCAACTAACCGTGCCTTCATACGCTCAATAGAATCATTGGGATGATATTTCACAGTGTACACCCAATGACAGCTCATAGGTTGCTTACTGGAAGGAATAAAAGTTAGGTCCTATGTATGATTGTCGTGAAGGGCTTTCATTTTTTCATCCATAGCTAGTTTTCATCTAGGAGATATCAATGTCTGTTGCAAAGAATTATGAATAAATTCAAAAGACAAGGTTGCTGCAAAACAATGAAAAGATGAGAAAAACTAATATAAAGAGACAAAATTAGAAATTAAATGTTGGATACAAGTACGAGTATCTTTCTTTAATGCAATAGGCAAATCAGAAGAGGATGAACCGCTTGGTGGCTCAGAGGGTAGGATCTTAGTAGAATTAGGGCATTGCTATGGAGCTGGAGCATATGGAACAACCAGTCTCTACTTGGAACAACGATAAAACTGCAAGGGAGGAATAGTAATAGAAGAGGATGAAGATGCACAATTTGGTAGAACAGACAACAAGAGCTCCCTTGATTGGGAAAGACTAAATTTGGAGAAATTGTATGTCCTGACGCAGTAAAAAAAGATGACTCAAAAAATGTAACATTAGCTTTGTCATAGTATCGGCAAGAAACAAAATTATAACAACGATAACCTTTTTGAGTACGGAAATATTCCCTAAAAAAAAAAAATACTTAACCGAGCTAGGTGAAAGTATATCCTGACCCGAACTGGGATGAACAAATGCGACACAACCAAAAACACGAGGAATAAGATCAAATGTTGATTTATCAGGGTATAGCAACGAGAAAGGGTATTGATTGTTTGAAATAGGGGAAGACATGCGATTAATAAGATAGACTGAAGTAAGAACTGCATCAGCCCACTCTGGTTTTGGTACGTACATGTTAAACATCAAGGTCCAGGCAACATCCAACAAATGACAAAGTTTATGTTAAACAACGCCATTTTGTTGAGAGGTATGTGAACAGATGGCTTGATGGATTGAATATACTCAAGAGCATTGTTAGACCGAAGAATTTTAATACGTATATCAAACTGAATCAAAATTTAATTATTAAAAGTAATAAAGACTTTGGGCAAATCAGATTTGTCTTTCATAAAAATTAACCAAGTCATACGAGAAAAATTATCAACAAATATTACAAAATATTAAAAATTAGAGATACTTTTGACCCTTGGAGGAGCCCAGATGTCCCAATGGATGTAACTCCGCATATATGGTTACTCAACCTTCCTCATCTTCTTGGATCATTGATTCAGGAGGTAGCACCCATATGTTTGGTAAATTATCTTTATTCTCTAACTTTCATTTGTCAAACTCACGTATGGTTTTAATTGATGGTTCCTTTCGACCATGGGACTGACGATCACTATTCTACTCCGTTTTCCAAAAAACACTCCAAACTACTCTGGGTAGTGCGCTGTCAATTCAATTATCATTTCATGAATAGTCCGTTCGATGCAGCCAGGCACTGCTATTGGTGGAAGTTTATGAAAACAACAAAACATATCTGTTATAAAAGTTCGAAGACTTCTTTGCAGAGGCAACACAACATCTGCACCTTTCAGCTCAGTGATGATATCACATAGCTCAAGCAAGGAGATCTCTTTCTTGCTGATTACTGTGCCAAGCAGTTTTGGGGAAGAAATGAATCATTATAAGTCGTTCGTGTGATGGGGCACTGTGAAGGATGCTGAGACTTGTGCCATGATAGTGAAGAATAGAGTTATGGTTTTGCAGTTTCTGTCTGGACTGAACCCAGAGTTGCATTTGCATTTTTATTCCTAACCGGAATCTCTAGAAGGTGCATGTCTGTCAAGTTCCATTGAATATGTCTGTGAATAGTTCATTATCTATTACTGCAGGCTATGGGAGAGTGAATTTGTCAGCTGGTGTCGCCCTTTTTCAACTACCCATTATTTTAAGATTCCTGCTCTCACACGAACAACTACTTCACCACCCCTCTTAACCATCTCTCTTCTTCACACACTATGAATTAACGTTCAATATTTGGATAGAATTGAGGTATTGATAGCGATTCTATTTTACGCCACATCGCGTGTATTCTGTTTTGTGGTGCTATTGAGGTACATGAAGAACATATATCTTTATTTTCCTAAATTTTGGCATAATTTAGTTTGCATGACTAGTCTATGGGCTAAAGTATGTCATCATAAAAGAATGACCCTACTTATCTTTTTTGTGCCATGCTAGGACAACTATGATCAGGATACTAGTAGCACATTTCTGCAACATCAGATAAGCGTGATAGACCAAAGTATCTTCGATCTTATATAATCTATCATGGAGACCAAGGATACTCAACTGGATGGTAGTTCCATCCTCCGTGTGGGTGACACAAGTTTGAGTCTCAATGAAGTTGATGTTCTGCACTCACCCAAGTCGTCATATTTTTAGCATGACCAAAGTTAGAATTGTATATCAGTCAACTAGATAAGAATGTTGCAGTTGCATTATCTACCAGGGCAGTACCTTTCAAGCTCCTTCAGAACTTATTGTGTATAAGAACATGTAGGAATCTGCTGGTTTTAGTTGTTCTCCATTGCTATTTATAATTTCTTCTTTTGCTTGTCATTATCTTTGTAGTTTATCCAATTTCAAATCGTGCGAGGCCCATTCATATTGATAGTTTATGTTGTTTCCAATTTTACCTTCTCCAACGTCGAAATCAATTGTTGTGCATAGAATATTTGGAGAGTGGCCACCTGAAATAAAGGAGTTTAAAAGTATTTCATGGACTCTCTTTCTTGCCTTCATGTTGAAGTAAATATTATTGTCTTTGATGGTCTTATATAATATGTGCGTGTGTTTTTCAGAGAATAAATGCAATCAATGCACAATATGAAGAACAGTTGGCTGCACTTCGAGCACAGCATGCCAGTCATAGAGATGAGTTCCTTCGGAGGGAATCTCATGGACGACAACATCAGTACCAGCAGGCAATGGACCATTTCACTAGCACCGGCATGGGTCCCAGTGACCCTCACGGTTATGGTGCAGCTGTAGCACCAGGTGGAGAGCAACTTCGAACCTATGGTGGTGATAACTACAATTCTTATAGGGAGCAGACCCGATTCCTTGGTAATACCAGGGATCGCGGATTTGAGTCCCGAGGTCAATATCCTGGGGGTCGTGTCTATGACACCGCCTCACGCTATTACTGACTTAATTTTGCCTAAGGTAGCATATAAAGCTTCCTCTCTGCCTTTTAGCTGTCCTAAGGTTCATTCCTCTGTGGTTGTATTTGCAGACTATGATTGCTTCACTCTCCCCTTCTTAAAAGTTTTTTCTTATCCAGCTCCATGTTGATTGTCTTCTGGTTGTAATGCTTCTTGTTCTGCAGTCCATAGAGTTGGCTATTTGTCACTATCATAGCAGTATTTACTTCGTTAGTAGTGCTTATTCTTGTGTGGATGTTTTTTTTTTCTTGGATGTACTCCCTCTTCTTCCAAGCCTTTATTTTTTATCTTGTGAAAAAAAAAAAAGATAGGGGTAAAGGAGAGCGTTTAAAGACCATCCCGATAGACCCTCATTGGTGGAATTATGAAGTCTATGATCACGTCCATTATTTCTCTCAGGAATAAAATTAGTTAAGTTAGCATAACGGTCAATTACCGGGCTCTAATTTGGATTTTAAGACTAGAGTTTTTAATCTCAAGTTGAGAAGTTTGATCAGTATTCTATTGGACTATTCCAGTGGTCCCTTCTTCCATGCATAGTCACATGTATTGTTGCATATGTATTAGTGTATTGTTTTTATTGATTACTTTTATGATAGTGATCAAATATGATTTTATTTTTATGGGGACAATATTTTTTTCACTTGGATTAGTGCTAGAATATGAATATAGGCCAACCAGTGAGAGGTAGTGACTTTTGCAAATCCATATACTGTGAATGAATAGATATCCATCAAATTATAAATGGCTGTAGTGATAATGAACCACAATATTAAATTCACTTTTGAATAGGTTGTGAGATTGCACCTGTACTTTAAATCTCTCTAGTTATCTCTATTTTTTTGAAAATTGATCGAGTGTGATAGTATTTTTTTTTTAATGGTCAAAAGTGTTCGGGTCAATTTACGTATATTTCGATTAATCTCCTCTTGAGTCTAGTTAAAAACAGATCATTCATATTAAGACTAAGATATTAATGAGGATGAATTTCTCGTGGGTTTGTTTAAAAAAGAAGTTAAATTTTGAATTTTAACTTGTCTTTATTATCACTTAAATTACCCTTAAATTAAATGTGATGCGATAACATTTGACTATGGAAGGGTGATAACAACTAACTGACGTCGAATGTGTGACTATTTGATATATATACGTTTGGTTAATGTGAAATTATTTGGATAAATATCACTAACACCCCTTAACTTGAGGGGTGTTCATGTAATAAAATCAAATGTCAAGGACGACGAATGATATTTACCCAAATCTCTTTACCGTGTGATTAAAAACAAGATTAGGATGTATATATATATTATGAGTAATTCGTGCTCGAAGGAACAGTGTAACATAAGTGAGAAGTGATTGAGTTGGGGGAAGAAAAATTTAATGTGAATAGTTTTGAGAGAGATATTGATTGTCGTTAAATGAGTCTATTTAAGACAATTAAATAAATTTATTTTATCCTTTTGTTGTACTCATCCAGATTATAAGTATTATTAAGTACTAACAACTTAATCGAAAGACTGAAAGCTCCCCCAACCCATGGAGGGGAGCAATTTTTTTTATTAATGCTGCTAATAAATATAATATATGCGGACTTATCCCCCGCCCCCCAAAAAAAATGACAAAATATAGTAAATGGGAAAAGACTTATTTTTTATTTATTATAAGAGTAATGTTAAAAATTAAATTTAATAATTTCAACCATTGAATAGGTATTGGGTCCCAATAAATGCTGGGACCCACAATAAAATCAATAATTAAAATTATTAAATCTAATTTTTAAATTCATGTAACATTACTCTTATTATAATAAATATAAATATAAAATCACGAATTCCATTCAAGCCTTTGAGATACAATTATTGATGGAATATTGGCATAATCCTATATAAGATTACATGTATCCTTAATTTTATATATATCAAACAATTTAATAAATATATTCTCCAATGATAAATAACCCCGATAATTCATATATATACACCTCATCTTCTCTCTTGTCAATTTCTTTATGCTCTATCTACTTTAATTTTAAGGTGAGTATATATATATATATATATATATATAATATGATAGGTTTCAATAAATTCATCCGATAATTTTAAATAGATCCATTTAACGATCACATATTCAAACAAAATATGAGATATGTATAAAATTTTTTGAAAATATTCAAAGAAAACATAACAGACCCGTCAGGCCGNAATTTTAAATAGATCCATTTAACGATCACATATTCAAACAAAATATGAGATATGTATAAAATTTTTTGAAAATATTCAAAGAAAACATAACAGACCCGTCAGGCCGTTATCAGTTTGCGTCGATTTTCTCCGCACATGTTCCGATGCTTGTTTTTTTTTTTTTTAAGGTTTTTGGACAACAGATTGTCTTGATTTCAAGAGAAAAAAATATAGAAATAATTTTATTAATTTTTCCTTCCCCGGATTTCTAATTCTCTTCACAGGAAAAAAGCTCCACTTGTTTCTCTGCAACTCCGTCTCTCTCTCTCTCTCTCTCTCTCTAACATGATCTACATTTCTGTAAGTCTCTTTCGCCATTTTTGAATCTGTCACACCAGCAAATACTCTCTCCCTTCCCGGAGAATGGATAATCCTTCCGAAGATTCCTCAGATACATCTAAACAGCGGCAACTTCAGCGCTCTGTCTCTTCCGACCACGATCAACGAGCCTATTTGGTGCCCTACAGGTACATGCACTCTCTCTCTCTCTCTCTATATATATATATATATATNGCAGCAACTTCAGCGCTCTGTCTCTTCCGACGACGATCAACGAGCCTATTTGGTGCCCTACAGGTACATGCACTCTCTCTCTCTCTCTCTATATATATATATATATCGACAATTTTCAAACTCAAAGGGGAAGGGGAAAAACCTGATTTGAATTCCAAGACATAAAAAAAAGCAGGTTGATTTGTTTTATTTTTGTGGGTTTGTATTGCATTACATGGTTCTTCAATGAGTTCATCTTGAAAATGGCCTTATCATGAATCAGTTGGCATTTTCAGACCAATAACAGAAAGAAAAAATTTGAATTCCAAATGACAATAAAAAATCAATTTGTTTGTTTTTTTGAGCTTGTTTTATTTTTCATGTTTCTTCATGCAAATGTAGCGTTGATCAAACTCAGTTGAAGGATTTTGGATTTTTGCTTCTATATTTTCAAATCCAAGGCACAAATCTAAATCTGAATCCCAAAAATATTTTTTTATTTTTATTTTTGAATTCTGATTCGGTTTTGATTTGCATACATTTCATTATGTAGTGTTGGTTGTACTCAGGTTAGTAAAGTTGTGGTAGAGGTTGTGATTCCATACATAACATTTCTTTGGTTGCTGTTTGGTGGTGGTGGGGGTGGGGTATAGGTGGTGGAAGGAGGCGCAAGATTCTTGTTCAGCTCTTGAGTTGGATAGGATGCAAGGGATTTTGTACACGGCTTCACCAGCATATTCCTATGGAGGGCCCATGAAACTAATCAACAACATATTTAGCTCAGATATTGTATTCAATCTTAGGAGAGAGGATGATTCTTTGACCAATAATGAGAATGGTGAAGTTGGGGTATCAGGTCGGGACTATTCTTTGGTGCCAGGGGAAATGTGGTTGGAGGCACTCAAATGGTGAGTCTTGTAGTTTTCAATTTGGTAATTTTGGTAAAATGGATTATTTGATTTTTTTTTGGTTGAACATCCAAGATAATGATATGCTTGTAAAAAATTGTGGTTTTGATTTGAAAGAGTGAAACCTGTTATGTTTGATATCAACTGTGTTTGAGATGTAATTGGTTTTGTATATGGTGTAGTTTTGTTCAGTTTTCTCCAATTCTTACTACGTTTATTAACTAATTAGTACTCATTTTAGTGGGCGTGAAGAAACCTTCAAAGACTTGTTAAGTGGGTTATTCTTGCTTGTTGAGAGCTTTTCCTAGTTTCTGTTTATTTTTTAGTGCTATATACTGTTATTGGGATAATATTTATGAGTTAACTGGGAAGGCAATTTTGAGTGGAGATTTTTTTCCATTGCAATTTTTCTCTAGATCATAAATGTTTTAGCCTCTTTATATTTGCTTCCTCTTTCTTTTCCCCTTTGTCATCCTGCACTTGATTCTGTTAAACTTAGACTTTGGATTAATCTGTTCCTCTTCTGCTTTGAATTATTTTTGATTGGGAATTAGTTGCGCGGTGATCATTAACTAGCTGATTAGATTACTTTCTATATTGACTATTTTTAGTCTATCCTCCACACAGCATACATGGACTATAAGTAATATTAGAAGTTTTTGATGTTGTCAGAACTGAATGAAGGTATTTGATGCCTCAGTAATTGTGTTCTTCCTCTGCTCCATGCAGGCACAGTGATTCTAAAGTTGCCATGAAAGATGGCAGGAGCTTTTCAGCTGCAGAAGATGACATGGCAGATGTTTACCCCTTAAAACTCAGGCTTTCTGTCTTGAGGGAAACCAACTCATTAGGAGTGAGAATAAACAAAAAGGTGATTTAGCCACTCTCTTCTTTCACGTCTAGTTGGCCTGCAGAACATTTTGATGGTTGTGGATGTCATGTGGCTTTGGCCTGGAATGTATAATGTATATCCATATTTGCGCTGTTGACCTTCATTTGCTCTTTGTTTCTGGATGATAATGGAGTTTGTTGAAATGCTTTCTAGAAAAGAGCAACATTTGAGTGCTCAGATGATTTGCTTTTAGTGTTGCTCATCGATGTAATATCTCTCTGTCGAATGTTTCCTGTCATACACTAATTTTTCTGTATAACGACCTGAAGGCTTTTTTTTTTTGCCTGAAGCAATGCATATGGTCCCTGTTGATCATATGAACCCTCAGCATTAAGTGTGAAGATTCTTAATCCTTACATGAATCACCCCATTGGATAAAAGTTTAAATTGCTGGATCTGATGTAATACAATTTTTTTTTTAGTGGATATGCTGGCATGTTCTTTTTTTTTTTAATGGGGATAGTTTGTAATTCATGAATCATAATAATTGTCAGTGGTNTAGTGGATATGCTGGCATGTTCTTTTTTTTTTTAATGGGGATAGTTTGTAATTCATGAATCATAATAATTGTCAGTTGTGTTCGGTGAAGTAACGCTAATTGTTAAATCTAGATTTGTATCGTTAATTGAATTTTTTTGTTTCCAATTATCGATTAAATCGGGGATCCTAAGATTTGGTAGCACTTTCGAAAACTGACTATATATGAGATATACACATGTAAACAACAAAATAGTTTTAAAATATATACCGAGTGAAGGACACAATAGTACTATGAATAGATTATAGGATAAGTATTGAAGATATGCTAGTACATAGGTATTCTTATGCTTGTGAACACGTTTGCTCTTAATTTTTGGTTTCCTTTTAGAAGAATGATGATCTCACGAGAAGAATGATGTCATGTGTTTTTCATACCAATTTACAAATTACATTCTCATTCAGATGTAGTGTTGCCACTTGCCACAACATAGCCATAGAAGAGTTTTCACTAACATTGAGTATTNTATGCTTGTGAACACGTTTGCTCTTAATTTTTGGTTTCCTTTTAGAAGAATGATGATTTCACGAGAAGAATGATGTCATGTGTTTTTCATACCAATTTACAAATTACATTCTCATTCAGATGTAGTGTTGCCACTTGCCACAACATAGCCATAGAAGAGTTTTCACTAACATTGAGTATTTGATTTCTGCATTTTATTATCCCTATTAGCGGTTTTTGAGCTTTCCAAAACTTGTTTATCCTTTTGTTATATAAGCATCCATAGTTATCCGTGTACCAACATTTTGATATTTTTCAAAGCAATTGATCAATTAATATTATAACTATTTTTCTTCTTTTATTTCACCAANATAGTGAGTATTTGATTTCTGCATTTTATTATCCCTATTAGTGGTTTTTGAGCTTTCCAAAACTTGTTTATCCTTTTGTTATATAAGCATCCATAGTTATCCGTGTACCAACATTTTGATATTTTTCAAAGCAATTGATCAATTAATATTATAACTATTTTTCTTCTTTTATTTCACCAATTCTTTTCCAAAAAAAAAAAAAAATTCTTTCTACTCTATCCAACCTTGTAGTTAAATGTTCTAATCCTAAAAAGCACCACTTGAAGATGCATTATTGAGTATAGTACAATGAATGCATTTTAGCATAGCACCTGTATGATTATCAATGCAAGCATAATATTCCCACATGGGATCATACTCATTTAGCAGTCGTATTGAATTGAAAAGAATAAGGAATTCTCTTGATGAGTCTTAAATATGTTGGCTGACAAAGAAGAAAGCAATGACCAAAATAGTAGGAAGAAATAAGGACTGTATACAGAAAAAGGTAAAAAGTTATGGTTCTTGTACAAAGCATATAGAGATCTTTAGTAATTTTTAAAAATATTAGAGAAGGGACAAATAATAGCTAAGCCCTATAGCCTTTAAAGGTTCTTGATAAAGCTTATGTCAAAGGGAAAAACCCGCATAGGTTCACAACAAGACTTATCTAGTTGTCAACACAATAGGGTACCATTTTGAAGAGAAAATCAGTATTTCACCCTAAAGCCTTTAATGGTGCTTTTGAAAGCTTATCTCAGAAGAGGAAACAGACAGATTTATAATAGACCTCTTTTTGGTTTCCTGGGTTGGGAATTGTATGATTCCCTCACGAATCAGATAGATGCATTAAGGTTCACTAAAATTTTAGATTTGATTTGCCACTGCATATTGTTAAGGTGTTGGATCTAATCAAACAGCACAGTTTTAATTGAGAATTATAAGCTTTTGATAACCATTGAAGTAACTTTTGAATTGACTTCTGTTTCTTATAACTGAAGGTATGTTAGAACATTTTGGAATAATTCGATTCATTTTTTGTTTTCGTTTAATTTCCTTTCATTTATTTTTCGGGAATGATCGGAAATTCAGACTTTTGTTTTATTGTGGAATTTCAATTTATTTTACTAGCCAATGTAGTGGAATGGATTACAACTTATAAATATTTCTCGTGAGACCATAGTTCTTAATTGGATATCCTGAAATGTATATTTGGCATGAATTCACTGCAGAATAGGAAAAATGTAAAATTTGATGCACGATTTGAGCTGTATGTCAGCAATAATATTTATTACTATGAACATTTATTGGTAGTCAGCATCCAACAATAATTATTTTCTGACATCTAACTGAAGTTTGTGACTGCTACCTCTTCATGTTTGGTCATGGTAGTGATTTTGTACGAAATGACCAATGCGATCAATACCTAATCTGCTGAAATCTATTAGGTTTTGTGTAGATAAGGGCATTTTCCCATGTGCTTGTATTTTAAAACGTGAGCTTATGGATGTAGAAGTACACTTTATGTGTTAATTGCTGGTGTTTGATAGGAATGGTTCGTTTGGAATGCACCATGCTTCTCAACCTTAGTAAAGTAAAATCAGTTGGTTGTCAAAACATGAACTGTGGTTTGGAGTTTTAAATAGAATGTCTGGCTTGATTGGCTGGGTTCGTTATCTGCATCTGGTGAAGCTGTTTTCATGTTAGGGTTTGAAATATCATTTTCCTATGGAATAAATGATCTGCAAATGTATCAGGATACTTGAAAGAATAACATTGCAAGATAANGAACTGTGGTTTGGAGTTTTAAATAGAATGTCTGGCTTGATCGGCTGGGTTCGTTATCTGCATCTGGTGAAGCTGTTTTCATGTTAGGGTTTGAAATATCATTTTCCTATTGAATAAATGATCTGCAAATGTATCAGGATACTTGAAAGAATAACATTGCAAGATAACTTCGTGGTAGTAAGAAGGTAGGTCCAAATGATCAAGGAATGTTAATATATAATATATGGGAAAATGTAGCAGTCTTCTAGATTTAATGTTGGTCATATTAATACAGGAGTGCACCTATTAATTTATACATTCCTTAGAACTATAAATGACTTGTTGAAAACTTAAAATCAATTGCTGTTTAAAAGTGGTAATCTTTTACCTGAGATATTTTCTCGGTCCACATAATTTGTCTTTGGAGCCATCCAAGTGAGCAGAAAATATCTTATTATATAGTGACAGTTTAGGGATTTTGCTAAGAGAATCATAATCGAAGGTCATTTCATCTTGGTGTTACACCCTGCACACCTTTATGTTGAACTTGTCTTTTTCAATCCTTCCACTGGACTGCATGAGCTTCCCATGTTTGTTATGGTTGCTAAATTTGAGTTCTATTGCAGACTATGACTACCAATACGGTTCCATTGATTGGAGTTTATTTTTACTTCTGCATTTTTAGACTATCTCACAAGTCGCATGGCTCGAGGTGTCTGATCCATTTGATATTCAGGACCCATCACATGCATGAAATATGTTTACAATGATGGGTTTAAAGAAAGATAGGTCATACAAAAGGCTATGTATGCATAAAAATTGCCTCAAAACGATGTCCTTTATAGTTTGCACATATATATAAACTGACATTTATGTGTATTGTTTCACAGGACAATCCAGCTGAGCGCTTTCGAAGAGCCTGTAAGATTTTCAGTGTTGAGTCTGAGCTGGTAAACATTCTGGTTGTCTTCTTTTAATTGGGGAACATATTTTTTTTTTGGTGGAGCTTGATGGTATCTTACTTCTATTGTGCAGTTACGTGTTTGGGATTTCTCTGGTCAGACAACCCTATGTTTCTTAAACGACACAAATAAGGCCATAAAAGATTCACAGCGGCAGTCAGAGCAGGATGTAAGTATTTTTTGTGTGAAAAGATATTTTGTTTTGAATCTCTTTGAAGTTTCATCTATGTGCATTCAGAATTGAGCAAGCTGTGTATCATTCACTTTTAGTTTCTTTATTTTTCTAATTTTATTTAATCGCAGTGTTCTGAAATGCTCAAATTTTATCTGCTTCATTGTTTTATGGACTGAGGTAGTTTTCTGAGACACTGCGGTTGCCTTAACTTTGAGCCCCAGGCTTCTCTAAAATACTGGTTCCAAAATTATTGACTTCTAGTCAGAAAACTGTGTTGGAAACTAATTTTTGCAAAGCCCCATTAATGACACTCGGAGAAGCGTAGATTAGTTGATTACTTGATTCATAAATTTACTTTGTAGTTGGACATATGACTGAGGACTTGTTCTTGGCTGGGCGGGATTCGCTATGGACTTAAGGTTGATCGGTTGCCACTCTGTTCAGTAGGGTTGACATAAAATCATGACTCTTGATATTTGAGCTTAAATGCATTGTTTGCATGTATGGTATATGCCTTGATATCTGTTTGATATTTCTCTTTTTTATTCTTTGCATCCATAGGGTTCCATTTACTTTTCTCTTTACGTACTATGGCATCTCATTTGTATAATTAGGGCCACTGNTGTGGTATATGCCTTGATATCTGTTTGATATTTCTCTTTTTTATTCTTTGCATCCATAGGGTTTCATTTACTTTTCTCTTTACGTACTATGGCATCTCATTTGTATAATTAGGGCCACTGAGGCAATAATTGTAAGTTATAATTACACATCAGACCACCTAAAATCACCATAATGATTGCGTCATTGCGAGATCTAGAACTAGATATGTGTGGCCTTCTATGGCTGTGGGCTTGGTTCTGTGGGCAATTCCAACGGCTTAGCATGAGACTCAGAGACCTCAGGCATGTTGTTTCCCTCACCAAAGATAAACTTCTGAGCTTCATTCCCTTGAAGAGCCTATGCCCGCAATATTGTGCTATGCCTCTGATTCTCCTCTGGCTCAGTCACAAATTTCATTCCCTTAGCTGCAATTTAAAATTGATGTGTACTACCTAGAGAAGAGATTCTTAGGATTGTATGTTGCTAGTTTCTAGGTGGCTAAATGTAGGCAAAATTATTAGACGTAGCATTTGTGTGCGTGTAAGGGAATGGTAGGGTTTTGCGGTGATAGTTTGGCAAGGAAAACTAATGAAGCATGATGTGTGATATGTTACATATATGATACTAAGTGAACTGTTTTCGTGCAATGTGATATGCCCTACATACATAGGCGCACTTATGATGTATGTTTCCCCCACTTGTACATGTCTCATACAGATTCTCCTGGAGTTGCAAGTTTATGGGTTGTCAGATTCTGTTAGAAATAGAGAGGTGAAAAAAGATGAGATGATACTTCAACATCCTATTGGAGCTTCACTGGCAATGAATGGTTATGCTGGCAATATTAACTCCAGTTTTGTTCGAAGTACTCCAGATTTTTTTGGAAAGTCTTGTGAATCTGGTTCTTTGGGCTTGACCGGGTTACAAAACCTAGGAAATACTTGTTTCATGAACAGTGCACTTCAGTGCCTGGTGCACACACCCAAGCTTGTTGACTTCTTTCTTGGAGATTACAGAAAAGAAATAAACCATGACAATCCATTGGGCATGAATGTAAGTTGACACTTACTCTGGTGCTTATATCATCACAGTGCTAGTTTCTTTTCCCTTTTCTTGTTTTTTCTGTTTTAATTTGGTTTAGCTTTTGTTTTATCTTTTATTCTTTTCTCGTTGAAATTCTAGTAGTTTTTTTATTAGGGGAGCCAGTTTCTGAAAGATGTTCCATACTTCATCTTAGAAAGTCAATTTTTTTTCCGCAACAATTATTAAATATATACTTCTCGGCCAGGGTGAGATTGCTTCAGCATTTGGAGATTTGTTGAAGAAGTTATGGGCACCTGGAGCAACCCCAGTAACACCAAGAACATTTAAGTCAAAACTTGCTCATTTTGCTCCTCAGTTCAGTGGTTTTAATCAGCACGATTCTCAAGTTAGTGAACTTCACTTGCTTGAAAGAAATTACATATTTCATAGTCTGTCTAAAAAGAATAAATCCGTGAATTTTTACCATAGGAGCTTCTTGCCTTTTTGTTGGATGGACTACATGAGGACTTGAACCGTGTGAAATGCAAGCCCTATTTTGAAGCTAAGGATGGAGATGGTCGTCCAGATGAAGAAGTAGCTGATGAATATTGGCAGAATCATCTGGCTCGCAATGACTCTATTATCGTTGATTTGTGCCAAGTGAGTAGCACTTCTTTGGTTTCCTTTGCATATGCAAAGTCAACAATTTAGTTTTGCTTCCAAGGCAAATAAGGGTCTTGCACTCTGGCTGCTCCAAAACCTTTTCAAACCAATGCTAGAGGCCGTGGTTTCTTATTATTTTCTGTTCCAGGGAAAGGGGATGCCATGATGTTATACTCATCTAAAACATTTCGGTGCAGATTGGAATTGTCAACTGTTTGAAACCTCAGATAGCTATGGCATCATGTTTTGTATATGTTTAGAATTCATTTATTTTCATTTTGCTGATAGGATGTTTTCACATAGTTTAATGATTGCAGTTTTTTCACATGTGATCCTTCCGGGACCCCTCAATTGCGGGAGCCTCATGCATTAANTCATTTATTTTCATTTTGCTGATAGGATGTTTTCACATAGTTTAATGATTGCAGTTTTTTTCACATGTGATCCTTCCGGGACCCCTCAATTGCGGGAGCCTCATGCATTAAGGCTACCTTTAGTTTTCCTCATCCTTATAATTTTAGGTTGATAAAGTTGTGGGGCTTTCAGAGGATTGCTTGGTGATATAAATCTTCAATCTCGTATAAGTTAATGATCTGGTAAGGTTTTACCACAGAATGGTTGTAGACTCAACTCAAAAAAGCATTAATCCCAATTATTCGGGGTTGGACAGAATGGTTGGTAACATTGTATGATATAGTTGGTCAATGTTTAATTTTTTTTGTGATTTTAAGTGTATGCACATCTCTGCATTGGTCTGAACTGATTGCACCACAATGTGAAGCATGACAAAGTTTGATTTGTAATTATTTCTGTAAAATTAACAGGATTGTGGATTTTCTTTGAACTCAGTTTTTTCCATTAGAACTCAACCTTCTTATTGGTCAATAAGTTGGATGTTCCTCAAGTAGACAGGGGATCTTGCCTGTTTATGGGCCTAGATAGTAGCCTGGTATTTCCTTTGATACAATTGCCGAGATTGGACAGTTTCACATGTTCCAAGTTTTAGTCTTGTTGGCTAAATACATTATTGTTCACTCTCATTGCAGGGCCAGTATAGGTCCACATTAGTGTGCCCTCTTTGCAGAAAGGTCTCTGTCACTTTTGATCCGTTCATGTACCTGTCCTTGCCTCTACCATCAACATCAGTGAGGACAATGACTTTGACTGTCATGAGAAATGATGGAAGTTCTCAACCATCTCCATCCACCATCACTGTTCCAAAGCATGGAAAGTTTGAAGATCTTATTCGGGCTTTAAGTAATGCATGTTCTTTAGGAGTTGATGAGGCCCTCTTGGTGGCTGAGGTATATTGCAGCACTTCTATTCAGAATATTAAATGTTTTGCATGCATGTTATATTTGTGCGGTATCTGTTCATCAATACAATAATTGGATTTGAGCTGTGGGACTTTATTGTTATCTACAGATATACAACAATCGCATAATTCGTTATCTAGAGGAGCCAGCTGATTCATTATCCTTAATTAGAGATGATGACCGGCTAGTTGCTTATCAGTTGCCAAAAGATACTGTGGAAGTCCCTTTGGTTGTGTTTATGCATCAGCAGATGGAAGAGTAAGTGCTGCTTCTAAGTTCAACTTTGGTGCGCTGTTTCATTCTTAGTTTAATTTGAACATATGTGGTGCCCTATGGGATAAACATATGTATTTATTTTCATAGTTGTATATATCACTATGTGCTATACAAATCTCACATATGAGAAGTACTGTTGTTTGAAAGGTTTGCGTAGAGTACGGTCAGTTTCAGTTGTAATCAAGTGTGGATGTAGGGTGCTGGTGCGTGTTCGAAGTTTAGATCTGCAACTCCTACTCTTGCCAGTACTGTAGGGTGAAGCAAATGGNACAAGTACTGTTGTTTGAAAGGTTTGCGTAGAGTACAGTCAGTTTCAGTTGTAATCAAGTGTGGATGTAGGGTGCTGGTGCGTGTCCGAAGTTTAGATCTGCAACTCCTACTCTTGCCAGTACTGTAGGGTGAAGCAAATGGTGTAGGCTATGATGCTATGTAGGGCATAATTTTTTCATCATTAAAACATTGCGACAGTGCACAAGTGGTATTGTGGTGGCCGTAGGTTCCGCGAGGAGGATTTATGGGTTAGAAAGATGGTGATAGTCTTCTGGGGTGAGTGGGAGAAGGAATAGACTTGTTCTGAAAATGGACAGGTTGCAGGACTTTATGATTTTAGAATGCAGGAGGTTCTGAATAGCATGCATATTGGGGTTGGTGGTGTTGATTTTAGGAGAAAGGTTGGGGATCTGATTATGAATGATTTGTGGCTGAGGTGGTGGATTTTAAAGACCGAATGANAAGAATAGACTTGTTCTGAAAATGGACGGGCTGCAGGACTTTATGATTTTAGAATGCAGGAGGTTCTGAATAGCATGCATATTGGGGTTGGTGGTGTTGATTTTAGGAGAAAGGTTTGGGATCTGATTATGAATGATTTGTGGCTGAGGTGGTGGATTTTAAAGACCGAATGAAGATTGTTGTGGATGCTTTGAGCAGTATTCTGGAACAGTAACTTAAGGGGAAAGTGTGAATTTTCGAGAAGTGGAGAAGAAGAGAGAGTTCCTTCACCCTCACAAGGGATCAGGGAAAATCACACACAACACAGTTCTGAAATTCTCATATTCATTCATGTTGCAATGAAAACTTGAGCGGAAGCATTCTCAAATTCTAGATCTTAAACTCACATAAAATCATACAATCTTGAATGAGAAAGTTAAGGTATAACTTTGTTCGATTGTTGATGAAAATAATGATACAAGAAACAAGTTTGAAGCCAAGAGAAAGATCTCTTCCTCTTTCTCCCTATTAGATGGCTGCTGGGGTTTGATAGAATCTCAATCGTTGTTCTGTAAGCTGATAATAAGCTCGTGTAGAACACCCCCCCTCCTCCCCAAAAAAAAAAAACCTAACATATAAGTTTTCTAGTATTATAGCTACGGGAAAGATCTAGGCAATGTTGTGAAAAGTGAGCGGCGAAGCAAGGCGACCGTATGTCGCCTTGAACATGTCCGGCGAAGAGAACGTAAGCGAGGTGAGAGAAAAGCGAGAAGCAAAAAAAAACGAATATGTGATCGCCTTAGTGAACTTTTTAATTTTACGTTATCTGATTCTTCTTTTCTTCATATTCTCCTCTTCATTTTTTAATTCTCCGTCTTTTGATTTTCTGGTTATATAGGAACCTCCTCCTCATCTTTTACTTTTTTTTTTGTTGTGTTGCGATGATCCTATTCTCCTCTATTTTTATTTTTTTTTGCTTTGATGTTGATTCTACTTCCTCCTCTTCTACTCTAATTTTTTTCTTGTGATGCTAATTCTGTTTCTGGTTTTGCTGGAACCTCCTCCTCTGCTTCTGATGTGATGTTGTGTTATGCAGTTGTGCTTAGACTGATTTTTTGCTTTGTTATGNATTTTTTTTCTTGTTGTGATGCTAATTCTGTTTCTGGTTTTGCTGGAACCTCCTCCTCTGCTTCTGATGNAATTTTTTTCTTGTGATGCTAATTCTGTTTCTGGTTTTGCTGGAACCTCCTCCTCTGCTTCTGATGTGATGTTGTGTTATGCAGTTGTGCTTAGACTGATTTTTTGCTTTGTTATGCAGGTTTTCTGCACTTGTTACATAGACCGATTCAACTGTGTTTGTTTTTAGACTGCCCTTGTTTGATTTTGCTACTTTGTTATGCTAAGTTCAATTGCTTCTCTTAAAAGGGACTGATTTAGTAGAAAATCATATAATTTTTGTTGTTGCTTCCTATTTGTAACGAAAAAGATTTCATCTGTAATGGTTGAGCACTAATGACCATATTTTCATATGGGATGGTTTAGATATATAATATATATATATATTGTTTATTTTGCTTCAATGAAGCGCTTGCTTCGCCTTTCTCTTCTTGCCTAGGCCTCACGAGATTTGTTCACTGTGGTTAGCTTCACGCATTAAAAAACTAGATCCAGGATTACTACCAAGCTTAGACCTAATTAGTTACTAGCTTTCTAATGATCTCATTGTTAAGCTAGTGCATCATTTAATTTCAATNATTGTGGTTAGCTTCACGCATTAAAAAACTAGATCCAGGATTACTACCAAGCTTAGACCTAATCAGTTACTAGCTTTCTAATGATCTCATTGTTAAGCTAGTGCATCATTTAATTTCAATTAACTCAACTATGTAACTTGTTAAACAATAATTTACTCTAAAATTTTAAGTTGTTGGAGAAGGTGTACCTTAAGTATTTATACTTCAACATGTCTCCTTACGTTCTGGTTAGATTTTGGATCTAGCACGTGAAATTTTTTTAAAAAATTAGGGTGGCGGCAAAATTCAAAACATAAGATCTTTTGCTCTAATACCATGTTAAACAACCATTTACTCCAAAAGCTTAAGCTGTTGGAGAATGTGTAATTTAAANGAATCTAGCACGTGAAATTTTTTAAAAAAATTAGGGTGGCGGCAAAATTCAAAGCATAAGATCTTTTGCTCTAATACCATGTTAAACAACCATTTACTCCAAAAGCTTAANGGATCTAGCACGTGAAATTTTTTTAAAAAATTAGGGTGGCGGCAAAATTCAAAACATAAGATCTTTTGCTCTAATACCATGTTAAACAACCATTTACTCCAAAAGCTTAAGCTGTTGGAGAATGTGTAATTTAAATATTTATACTTCAACATAACTAAAATTGCAGACTAAGATGGTGAGTTATAACAGTACCCTTGTTCACTAAATATTTTGTACCATAGTGCTCCACTTGAATATCAATAATTGAGATAGTATTAAAAAATACCAATATTCCATTGAACTCTCCTTAATTGTTTTTTAACTCGTGGGATATTTATAGTTATCCAAACAATGGTTTTGAAAATCGGCTTTTATGGCGGTTATGGAACGGTATCGGTGGCCTCCGATATCATTACACCCCGTTATAGTGTTCAAAATTTTTTTAACACTTGTAACGGCTATTATAGGACCGTTATGGGATTGTACCGACCGATAAAGAGCCTTGGTGACATAGGATTCATGGTAGTGNCGTTACACCCCGTTATAGTGTTCAAAATTTTTTTAACACTTGTAACAGCTATTATAGGACCGTTATGGGATTGTACCGACCGATAAAGAGCCTTAGTGACGTAGGATTCATGGTAGTGAAGTTTTTTTTACAGAGCTCCCATGAAAGTAAGCTGGTTGAAGAAGATGAACTATTGACACATGAGGAGTGAGTGGAATTTTAGCAGCTGTGAGGTGTGGGTAACAGTTATTGGGACAAGGAATTAGATACAATATGATATATAGTAACTATTGTGTGGACTATATATTTGGAGAATGTCAAAGTTGTAAACCCGTTATTAACGAACAAGCGTCGCATTTTTTTAAATCTCAAAGTAGAGAATTGGACACAACTTGTAGCACGGTGAAGGTGGCCTTGTTTGTGTTTTGAAGGTTGCAACTATTGCATGTGAGGTGTGGGTAACAGCTAGTGGGACACGAAGTTAGGTACAATATGGTACATAGTAACTATTGTGTTGACTATATATTTGGAGAATGTCGAAGTTGTGAACCCGTTATTAACCGACAAGCATCTCGTTTTTTTTAAATCTTAACGTAGAGGATTGGACCCAAACTGCTGCTTGGTGAAGTGGGCCCATGATTGTGTTTTGAGGTTGTAACTATTGCTTGTGTTATGACAAGTGTCTCCTTCTTTGAATCCAATAGATGATGACTTGATAGCCTACTGATCAGTTTAAATTTTATGGATGTGTATATTTTTTTACCCAAATTCCACCCCTAATTTAATAAAACAAAAAATCAAATCCTATTGAGACATTTGTAAATGTGCTCTAGAATTTGCATAATTTTGACCCCAAATAATAAGTAATTATCAACACTAAATAGAGCAAGACACAATTGAATATCCATATTTATTCTTGTATNTAAAAAATTAGGGTGGCGGCAAAATTCAAAACATAAGATCTTTTGCTCTAATACCATGTTAAACAACCATTTACTCCAAAAGCTTAAGCTGTTGGAGAATGTGTAATTTAAATATTTATACTTCAACATAACTAAAATTGCAGACTAAGATGGTGAGTTATAACAGTACCCTTGTTCACTAAATATTTTGTACCATAGTGCTCCACTTGAATATCAATAATTGAGATAGTATTAAAAAATACCAATATTCCATTGAACTCTCCTTAATTGTTTTTTAACTCGTGGGATATTTATAGTTATCCAAACAATGGTTTTGAAAATCGGCTTTTATGGCGGTTATGGAACGGTATCGGTGGCCTCCGATATCGTTACACCCCGTTATAGTGTTCAAAATTTTTTTAACACTTGTAACAGCTATTATAGGACCGTTATGGGATTGTACCGACCGATAAAGAGCCTTAGTGACGTAGGATTCATGGTAGTGAAGTTTTTTTTACAGAGCTCCCATGAAAGTAAGCTGGTTGAAGAAGATGAACTATTGACACATGAGGAGTGAGTGGAATTTTAGCAGCTGTGAGGTGTGGGTAACAGTTATTGGGACAAGGAATTAGATACAATATGATATATAGTAACTATTGTGTGGACTATATATTTGGAGAATGTCAAAGTTGTAAACCCGTTATTAACGGACAAGCGTCGCATTTTTTTAAATCTCAAAGTAGAGAATTGGACACAACTTGTAGCACGGTGAAGGTGGCCTTGTTTGTGTTTTGAAGGTTGCAACTATTGCATGTGAGGTGTGGGTAACAGCTAGTGGGACACGAAGTTAGGTACAATATGGTACATAGTAACTATTGTGTTGACTATATATTTGGAGAATGTCGAAGTTGTGAACCCGTTATTAACCGACAAGCATCTCGTTTTTTTTAAATCTTAACGTAGAGGATTGGACCCAAACTGCTGCTTGGTGAAGTGGGCCCATGATTGTGTTTTGAGGTTGTAACTATTGCTTGTGTTATGACAAGTGTCTCCTTCTTTGAATCCAATAGATGATGACTTGATAGCCTACTGATCAGTTTAAATTTTATGGATGTGTATATTTTTTTACCCAAATTCCACCCCTAATTTAATAAAACAAAAAATCAAATCCTATTGAGACATTTGTAAATGTGCTCTAGAATTTGCATAATTTTGACCCCAAATAATAAGTAATTATCAACACTAAATAGAGCAAGACACAATTGAATATCCATATTTATTCTTGTATATTGATTTTTCATATTATGAACTAATTTAAATGTAATGAGTTGTAAATCATAATAAAAATAATTAGGAAGTATTAAAAACTAATATTTTATGATTATAAAGTTAAAACTTTAGCAGTGTTATGAATTGGATGAGATGAGAATGGAAAAACGAATATTTTTGACTCCGGTTTCCTTTTTCGTTTTCGTTTCCGTCACGTAACGCTGGTTACATCAGCGTCTGTTAAACCGTTATTGTTATTCAAAACTATGAACCAAACATGCCAAATGAAAGAAAATTTCTCTTGGGCTTTTCTAAATGAGGTTGGATACCTTTAATAAATAATAACTAATACCTGGGATATGTGATGTTCCTGAGAATAACCCCCGAAGTATAAATGTTTAAGTTTCATTCTCTTTAATAACTTAAGCATTTATATGAGATGGTAATTTAACATGACATCTAAGGATGAGGTCCTAATTCGAATCTCACCGTTACCCTGATTATTAAAAGATTTCCACGTGTTAAGTCAATATATAGTCTGCACATGTAGGGGTGTGTTGAAGTATAAATACTTAATTATAACATCTCTAATAACTTAAGCTTTTAGATGAGATAGTAGTTTCACAAACTCCAAGTCACCACATTGAGTAACAAGGATAATATGTTTCCTATATGCAAAATATTTTTGACGTTTGGTGAGCTTTCAAATCTACAGTTGTCCTATACTGATCTATTGTACTGACTTATATTTCTCCTTTTCCCTTATTGTTTAAATCTTTTCCATTTGTATAGCTAAGAAAGATATATGTGCACTTATATTTTCTAAACCGTGGAATTTAAGCCCTGTTGTCTGTTGCACAGTAGCCCACTGATACGGCTGGGACAAGACACCAGTTTGTAGTGTGTAAGTGGCAAGTAGTGGCAATGGTCTTTCCACATTAGGGTCAAAGGAGATGAGAAGAAAGTTTGCATAACACTGTATCATACTTCTGTTATTCAGCCTGAAATATAGACCAACCATAAAGTCTATTGATGGTATTTCTTAATCACTGTTGACTATGATGGGGCTTGCCATGTTGAGTTTATGTCCTGTCCACTTGATCTGAATGCTTACAAGTTTTTGGAAAGCAGGCAGTTGTGCTCCTTAGTTGAGACAATTATGCTTTTTAGCTTTCATGGAATGTAATTTGTGAATGTTTGTTGAATTGCCTCTATAGATTGCTTTCATGATTGCTAAATTTGAGACATTATACAGGTAGATGCTAATGTGAATATCAAGATAATAGTATTGCAGCTCATTCATTATTTGTGTTATGATATATCTGTTAAACAACCATCTATTCCAAAAGCTTAAGCTGTTGGAGAGGGTGTAACTTAACTATTTATACTTCAACATGTCCCCTCATGTGCAAGCTAAATTTTTGGGCCTAGCGTGTGAAATTCTTTTAATCATAAGGGTGACGGCGAGATTTGAACACATGACCTCGTGCTCGAATATCATTTAAACAAACATCTACTCTAAAAGTTTAAGTTGTTGGAGGGTTGTAACTTAAGTATTTATATTTCAACAATATCTTGTGTTTATCCTCTTTGCCTAGTTAATTTGCTGCAACCCTTGATCTTAGTTCTTAACTCGTGATAAAAAGTTAATTTTGGGGTAAATTGCTCCCTTCCCATCATTTCTTTTCCTTTTCCTTTTCCAATCCAAACTGTCTAATAAAATTCCCTTTTCAGGCAGTATATCTGTGGGAAGCTGGCATCAAGTTGGAAGACATTTGGAATTCCTTTTGTGGGAAGCTGTAATATCATAAATGGATCTGATATACGTAACCTGTATTTGAAATTACTTAATCCTTTCTCAGCACACAGTAGAGATTCTATGGACATGTCTGATGACGTTGAGAACACTGCAACTGAAAATTTAACTGAGATGGAAGATGCCACTGGTTGTGGGAGTGGGGATGCAGAAGCTGCTGTCAGGGAAGATTTTGATATACATTCTGATACTGGCTTACGGTTTTACCTAACAGACGAAAAGGGAACAATCAGGGGCACTGAAATTGTAATGAATGAGCCCGTGAGTTTGACTGCTTTGCCTAAGCGGTTGAGTGTCCTTGTACATTGGCCAGATAAGATGGTTGAACGGTACAGTACAGGCCTTCGTAGCCCATTGCCTGAAATTTTCAAGTCTGGATTCTTGGTGAAAACGCCTCAAGAGTCTGTTTCTCTGTATAAATGCCTTGAAGCATTTCTCAAGGAGGAGCCCCTTGGACCAGAAGATATGTGGTAAGTATGTCTATTGTGTTTTTTCAATTTTTCAATGAAAATATCCATTCTCTGTTATCACCCTTGTTACACAATTAAGAGGGTTGTCTACTGTGTGATTGTTTTCATTCTTGTGTTCTATTTTATGCTTACTCTGTTTTCATAATGCCTGGCATCTGAAGAAGCTAATACATTTAGAAGACAACTTGATCGTTCACATTGTTGCATGTAGGATTAATTATCCATCATCGCACCTGTTTCTTGTAACTAATTAATGCATTTACACCTTGAATATTAATTGAATACTTCCATCATGATGCATGCTTTTGTAATGAACATGCTACGTAATGAAATATGTTGTAAATGCCACAATGTAATGGGACAACCCCCAGAAAATAGGAGCCCAATCTTATCAAACAGATAGACTATCTTCTATTCTGGGTGCTTTTCTATATAATTTCTGATGAAGACCCAATGGCATTGATGCAATACGCATGGAGAATTTTGGCATCTGGTTCAAGCAAGATCAACATAGTACAAACAAGATGAATGAGTTGTCATTTAGAAGATTGGCATTGTGCAATTTTTTAGTAGATTCTCATTTAATTTGTGTTCAAGTTTTCTATTTGTTTCCTAGTCAGTTAGGAAATCTACTTATTTTATGTTCTTACGTAATTAGGATTTTGCTGTACATTTCATTTCCTGATTCAATCAGGATTCTGGTTTACTTTGTTTCCTAGTCTGATTAGGTTTTTGATATAACAATGTAAACCTCTTGAGACTTGCTTGTTGATAATTTTAATAGTATTTTCAGAGAAATCTTTTCCGCCTTTTCCAATTGCTTAGGTATTCTAGGAAGCTTGAAAGGAGATCAGAAAGATCGGACGACATTATTATAGTAGAGGTCAAATGTTTCTGTGAAGAGTAAGCAACAGATCTACCCTTAGTATGGGAAAGCTGATGGTCGCGTGTGGATTCTATCAAGTCACAGTGAACCCCAATGTGAGTTTCTTCTAGTTGTAGGATGAAATTCGACAGCCTATTATTGGTTCTGAGTAACCAACCCAACAATAACCTCTGTTCTTCCATAACATAATGGGGCGTGGTTGCATGCGAGCCGAGTGACGTAGGTGCTCAACGATACGTCGTGCCACTAACATCTATTTCTTGTAGGTTCTTTGGACTGATGCCTGTTGCAGAAAAGGTCATAGATTTGCCGGTCATTAGAAGGAAGAACCGGCATAAAAAGACTCCTCATGTATCATCCTATTGTAAAACTAGGAACTAGTCTAGCAATCTGGACCGTATTGAAAAGTTTACTTTGACACTGTGGAAGAGTCAAAATGTTAGGAAACGAGATCCAAGAATGAAGAGGGATAGAATTATTGAATGAATATGAACTGTGGCTAATACCTGAAACGGAAAAGAAGCATTTTCTTNATCCAAGAATGAAGAGGGATAGAATTATTGAATGAATATGAACTGTGGCTAATACCTAAAACGTAAAAGAAGCATTTTCTATGGAATCCCAATACACGGGAAAGCCATTAAAGAACATTATGGACTATTACCTCTCATAATCAACATGCATAATATTGTTGTATAGATGCAGAGGCAAGGATTAAGATTTCATTGAGTTTCGACCGAAACATATTGGTTTGAGGAGAAATCGAAACAAATCAATTATCGAATATTANCATGCATAATATTGTTGTATAGATGCAGAGGCAAGGATTAAGATTTCATTGAGTTTCAACCGAAACATATTGGTTTGAGGAGAAATCGAAACAAATCAATTATCGAATATTGGAATTCCTATGTTTCTAAGTGTTTTAGAATGTTTCAAAACGTTTAAGGTGTTTTGGCCAAAAGTTGTGGAATGTTTCTGGATCAAAATTTCAAAATTTTTCGTGTTTCTATTATGTTTTCCGATACGTTTTCAAAACATTTCCAAAATATTTGCATTTTTGAGCAGAATGAAACTATACACCAAAACGGAATTTTGTTATCGAATGAAACCAAAGTAATACGACAAACTTAGATTTGTTGATTATGGCAGATAGTACTAGTCTAAAGATCTTCAATATTTTTGTTGATTTGGAGAATCCCATCACAATTGGAAAAAAGAAACTATTTCTACAGAAAATGCTATTCAAAACATCAAAAGCTAGTCTCAAGAGGTTACAGATCTGAATATTTATAATAGCAAATAGTCAATAATATCATAAACAAAATAAATTACATTCCTAGAAGAATTTGGAAAACCCCAAATGGTAGAGTCATAATTGAACTAGGAAATACAATAAAGAAGATCCTTAATTGACATGGAATTGGAAACAAAACTTTGAGAAAAATAAAGAAAGAATCTAATTGCCAAAAATGACGAAGTTTTCCAAACTATAATCGTTTGCCTCATTCCCCACATTTGAATATGACTTTGTTTGAATTTAGGCTTCTGACCAATCAAGATTTCAACCTTTTAAGTTTTAATATTCCACCAATTTTGCAGTAGGCCTTGAGTTTGTTATGAGGACTCACACACAACAATGTCTTAAAGACAAAATCTCTCTATAAAGCCCCATTAAGTGCTTCCATGGTCTTGGATAATGCTTTAAAGATTATATCCTCTTCCAATATCACAACAACAAACAAGATATGAATAACAAATAGTTTTTATGAAGCCACAAACAATCGTGGCATGCGACAACATATTAATTTTATGCAAGACACTTTAGACCTCGTACAACCAGGGTGTCTGCATAACTCAAAGTCGTCTGATATGTACNGCTTCCATGGTCTTGGATAATGCTTTAAAGATTATATCCTCTTCCAATATCACAACAGCAAACAAGATATGAATAACAAATAGTTTTTATGAAGCCACAAACAATCGTGGCATGCGACAACATATTAATTTTATGCAAGACATTTTAGACCTCGTACAACCAGGGTGTCTGCATAACTCAAAGTCGTCTGATATGTATAGCAATAAGCAAAATCCAATTATTAACAGCCTCAATAGAATCCATCCTAGTAACTACCACTTGTAGCTTCGTCTGATATGCATAGTAACCACCACTTGTAGCTTCAACTTTTTAATAATTATTGGGTATCGTTGTTTCCAAGGGAGCAACATCTTGATTTCCAATTAGACCAAAAAAATCTTTAGTACGGGGCCCACAAGGTCTTGTACCACCCCATCTCCCAAATGCTTGCCATTCCTAAAANATGCATAGTAACCACCACTTGTAGCTTCAACTTTTTAATAATTATTGGGTATCGTTGTTTCCAAGGGAGCAACATCTTGATTTCCAATTAGACCAAAACAATCTTTAGTACGGGGCCCACAAGGTCTTGTACCACCCCATCTCCCAAATGCTTGCCATTCCTAAAAATTATTTAGATCAAATCATGTAAAGAAAAGAACACATGTAAAAAAGAAAGAGAGAATAAACCATGCTACTATTCTCTAATATTCCACAAATAATAAATAACTAATTACAAGAGACACTATATATAAAACTCTATTACAAACGAAAGACAGAAATACCCCTAATGATAAATAATTATAAATACAATCTTAAACGACCAGAAGGCAATACACACGAGCATAGTGATACGTATCGTACGATACGCGATACGAATCGTATAATACGTCTGAAAAATGATACGTATCGTGCCTCTGTATCGTTTTTGCACCGTATCGNACGACCAGAAGGCAATACACACGAGCATAGTGATACGTATCGTACGATACGCGATACAAATCGTACAATACGTCTGAAAAATGATACGTATCGTGCCTCTGTATCGTTTTTGCACCGTATCATACGATATACGATATGATACGATACGCCCGATACGTGACGATTCTATTTTTTTTTTTTTTTTTTTTAAATTTTGGGGTTGAAATAACATCGTTTTATCCTATGGCTTATTTTTAAATCACTAGATAGTGAAATAATGTCATTTCAGTAGTTATAGTTAAAAAAAATAAATAAAATATGCTATTCAATTGAATTCAAAATTCCTAATTAATATTAAGGTTGTTCAAGTAGTTGATATTAGAAGTTTGAATTAGAAGTTTTTGCATTTTACTAAACTATGTTAGGAACTTGAATAATTTGTGGAATATTAATGAAATGCTATGTTATTATGAGTCTATGACTTTTTTATAAAGGTATATACATATATTTTATTGATAATTATTTAAAAATTAAAATTGCGCTTATCTTACGATACACGATATGATACACTATTTTTAAAAAATAATACGTCTTCCAATACATGATTTGACAATNTTTTATAAAGGTATATACATATATTTTATTGATAATTATTTAAAAATTAAAATTGCGTTTATCTTACGATACACGATATGATACACTATTTTTAAAAAACAATACGTCTTCCGATACATGATTTGACAACNTGTTAGGAACTTGAATAATTAGTGGAATATTAATGAAATGCTATGTTATTATGAGTCTATGACTTTTTTATAAAGGTATATACATATATTTTATTGATAATTATTTAAAAATTAAAATTGCGCTTATCTTACGATACACGATATGATACACTATTTTTAAAAAATAATACGTCTTCCAATACATGATTTGACAATTATGCACACGAGGTGCAAGGAAATAGATCGTTATCCAAGGATACCTCCTCCAAATTAGTGTCAAGAACATGAGACTCCTGCACCTTCTCCGGGATGATAACCACAACATCATCCTTGTTTTTGTGATCTATTCTTTGTCTTATATCCCTATTTGTGATACATCACAAGAAACGAGACATGATCGATTTTTTCTGGAGATATGGAAGTGACTGAGGCAACCCATTTAACATCAAACACTTTTTCCTTCTCANCCGGGATGATAACCACAACATCATCCTTGTTTTTGTGATCTATTCTTTGTCTTATATTTGTGATACATCACAAGAAACGAGACATGATCGATTTTTCTGGAGATATGGAAGTGACTGAGGCAACCCATTTAACATCAAACACTTTTTCCTTCTCAAAAAAGGATGGAGATTAGTCTGCCCCTCGAGACGCAATCTTCAATTCTGTATTGTTGTAACCTTTTAGTTTACAAGCATGTTGTCAAAAGACAATTCCGACCACCAACACTGTGCACGAAAGGTCACATACTCTAATACCAACTAGTACGGGGAGCGTACCCAAATGATACTAGAACAACAAAATAACCATAGGCTTGTTGATTACTAGAGATAATACTAGAATAAAGTTCTACAATGACTTTGTTCATTCCCAAGATATTAAAGTGATTGAAAAGAGAGAAAATGGTTTCTGAAAAAATATTATGTAAAACACCAAAGTTGGTCTTGGAGGGTTGCATAGTTGGCTATCTATAATAGCAAAACTTTGACCAAACTAGGAAACAAAGTAGCCTAGAATCCTAATTGGGTTTAGAAACGAAAAAAATGCAAAATCCTTACTAAACAAAGAAATTAATAAGTCATGCTCTATAAAATTGCTTAGTTGACAAGTCTTTCAACGACAACTCATTTGCTTCGTACGGACGACAGTGGGCTTGCTCGAACTGGATGCCAAAAATCTAGCCATGCGTATCATTTTTTTTTGTTTGGGGGGGGGAGGGGAGAAGTGGGACTTGACCCCTTGACCTCAAGAAGGCAAAACCTTCACAAGGTAAGGAGTACCATTAGATTAAAGCCACGTGTGTCTAGCCACCCATATTGCATCAAAAACTTATGGGAAAAAATATATTTGTATAAAATACATTGGTCACACAATGGGTAACTAGCCTTGTTGAGCAAGGTGATATCTGGCTCTCTTAGAGTATCTGCTAATCCTCCTTGGGCACGTGCAATCCTACCATTTCACATGCACCATGTAATTCTAGGATAAATCATGGTAGATGGCCCCAGAGGGCATTCTTGAACTCAAGACCTCTAGCTTTTAAATTGGACTCCTAGACATTTTGCCTACCCTTAGGGTGCTGTATTGAGTTAGACTGAAACATCCTTCTCGTGAAGAGGTGAGTTCTGTGAGTTCATTTAACAGTTTATTTCTGTCTTCTGCTCATCTATGTAAGTTTCTTAAGTAGTGAGCACTGTGGCCCGTAAATGTGGTATTTTTAACATGCTTTATGATAAATATAATGTTAGGTACTGCCCCATCTGCAAGAAGCATTGCCAAGCCAGTAAAAAATTAGATCTTTGGAGGTTGCCAGAGATTCTGGTGATTCACTTGAAAAGATTTTCTTACAGCCGGTTTTTGAAGAACAAGTTGGAGACATATGTTGAATTTCCTATCCAAGATCTTGATTTGTCGACATACATTGCCTATAAAGATGGACGAATATCTAACCGATATATGCTTTATGCAATCAGTAATCATTATGGAAGCATGGGAGGTGGTCATTATACTGCATTTGTTCATGTAAGTGCATTTGTGATGTTTCAAGTTCCTTCTCTGTATTTATTTGTTTACTCCTATTCTCCTCTGTCCTTGTTTTACCAAGCATTGGAAACAATTTAAATCTGTGCAGCAGTTTACGAAAATAAAAAGGAAACCAACTCATATTTATAGTAGGAAGTAGGAACTGTGAAAAATTGTAATTATATTTTTAAAAGAATAAAAAAGTGGAATTATGTCGATTCGGTCCAGAGCATGCTTGTTTATGCACCACCTTGTGGAAACTTAGAATGTTTACTCACAGTAATTTACCCTGACATTCAGAAATAGTTATGCTATTAAGTGATGATCTGACTGCAATGTCCTTTGTGAAAAGATACATGCCATATGTGTGAGATTTTGCACGTATTTTATTGCTGAACATCTGGCTTAACATGAATGCCCCACAAGGGCAGCAGTCGTGAATGCTTGAACTTGTGCATTGCAACTTCTGTTACCTTTTGTGAAAGAAACTGTGTGAATGCCATATGTGGCACTATAACACCGAGATTAGACCTAACCGTGCACATTGGATGAGTGAGGGAAATACAGCTGCCTAGATACTTGATACGTGTCACACAATAACATCTCTGTAAACAGAGTTTGTATCCCGAACGATTAAGACCACCCAGGTTGGTTTATATGTTTGAGGGGCCACTCCACTCATTGCCAATTGGTTTTGGGTCGGATGCTCTAACATGGTAATAAAGCTGGGCCTATGGTGGTCAGTGGGTCAAGTCTCTTACCCATTTGAATTTTTTGGTATGCATAGTTGTTTGTTAGCTCCACACAAGAGCCCAGGTTGCACATGAGGGAGGGTGTGAAGAGAGCTCATATCCAACATTGAATGAGTAGAACCACTCAAGGTTGGTTTATGTGCTTAATTGGTTTTCAGTTGGATGCTCTAGCAATCTCAACCAAATAGGAAGAATTTCATCCGGGACTCCTGTGGTTTGTCCTCACTTCAAAGACATCTTGCGTATTTCCTGAACTTTACTGCACCCTATGCAGTTAATATGTCTGTTTCGCTTACACCTCCTGTTGTGAGTGGCCTTTATTGAATCAAAAGAGTGGCTGGCATGGTACTGGATTCTTCTGAAAACATCAAGGTTAACCTTAGACACGATATAGTAAAATGCCATTGTATTTGATAATTAATTGGCAATTGCCATTACACATTCATTGTGTCATCATAAACCTAGTTCAAATTTCAGCTCTTATGCTGAGAACAAGGTGTCCACGACATTATCTTAGTGGCCCTTTGTATAACTCTTCATGAGCTGTTCATTCCCAACCAGGAACTTGAGCTGGGTCCTTCTATACGATGGAAGCCACAGTTGTAGTAGCAGAATGTAGCACAAAGTGACATCAGTCACCGTCATCATACAAGATATGGCTGGGTCCAATATTTCCCACCAAAATGCATAAAAATCTCGATTAACTAACTAATTGAACATAAAGCGAGTGATTTGGTGGAGGAAAGGCATCAATTTTTGCTTGATTGACCTTCACATGCCTTTGGACTGGACTGAAAAAATACTGCTTAATAAACATTGAAGTTATTATTGTACTCTCAGATTCCCAAATACACCTGCCAACATAAAACCCACTCACCAGAAGATTTGAGCTATTCTCTTCCTCTTACTGCTCACCCTTAAAACATCTCTCTCTCTCTCTCTCTCTCCAACCAATTAGAGAAGGAGACGTTCACATTCTGAAATCAAGATGATGCAAGAGGACGGTCTCGTCATTTGACCGCTTATACCTTTTGAATTATTATCCAACGAGCATAATCCACCCACCTCTTTCACCACTCTTAACTTTTACGACGTGTTGGAACAGAAGAAAGAAAAATTACAAAATTTAAGGGGAAAGGCGATAAATTTGGTTTACACAACAATTTAGTGGCTGATTATAGTTGTGCATCTAATACATATTTNACTTTTACGACGTGTTGGAACAGAAGAAAGAAAAATTACAAAATTTAAGGGGAAAGGCGATAAATTTGGTTTACACAACAATTTAGTGGCTGATTATAGTTGTGCATCTAAGCCTGGTTAATATGCAACTTAGCTGAAACTATAGAGGGTCAGTATGTATGTACATTTTAAAGTACATAATACATATTACGTGGGGTATTGTCGTGACAGCAGTTAACACTGTTATCAGACAAAATCTGATACAGAGTTCCTTTGCCTATGTGACAATCTGTAGTGGGTGTTTATGAAACTTTCTAGACAGGAAAAAAAAAAGGAGCGCCTAGATATTTTGTGAGGTTTAGGAGTGTAAGTATGAAGGCTTGGATTGTGTTTTCTCCTGCCATGTTATTTCATGCAAATAACTTTATAGATATAATTCATATAAATTTTTGTTAACAACGATCATTTATTTAATTGATTGTTCTAATTTCGCTTTTTCTGATGTAGCATGGTGGTGATCGCTGGTATGACTTTGATGACAGCCACGTTTCTCCCATCAGTGAGGACAGAATAAAGACTTCAGCTGCTTATGTTCTTTTTTATAGAAGAGTTGAAGACGTCTAACATAATTTCAGAGCAATCAACTAATGAGGCTAGATTATTTCTTTTTGTCAGCTTAGTCTAACAAGCATTATACTAAAGGTTGCATTCTTTGGTCTCTGGTGCTAAATTGTTGTCACTGGTGGAGTTTTCAAGATATGGAACAGAAATGAAGATTGTAAGAATAGTTTTGGTGCCAGAGACAATGTAAAATATTCACATCCAAGGAGGTCAGAATCATACCTCAGAGCACCTTCAAGATTTGTAAGATTAGAAACTTGTGTAACCTCTCTTTTTCTTTTTTGACCCTAACAGTAGAAGCCATCTGAAGAAGTTTTTTTTTCCCTACTATAATTTAATTTTTTAAACAATCGACGAATGCAGCAAGACAAAATTCTTGCAATTGTTTGATTGGCAATCTAAAGAATTGCATTAGCAATATTGGTGCCCTTAATTTCACCCTAACAGATGGTTTGAATTTTTGAGCCATTGAAATGTATTAACAAGAGGAAATTCTTTGAAAATGCTTTTTGATAGGCTACGTTATCAATTGCATTCTTCAATTTTGGTGCTCATAATCTCAGTGTTGCAGTATTTATTGCTTCTTTCCTTTGTAGTTTTCTTTCCATCTAATGTCATTGAGTTCACAGGTAATCTCTATGCAGAAAAGGAAGTAAGAAGCCATTGGAGCTACACTAGGAGCTCAGTATCAGTCAGATTCAATCTTTCACTTCTTCAGGTAAAAAGGGAATCTGATCCAATGGAAAATGTAGATTTTTTAGGCTAAAAACTACATATGATACCAAGGAATGCCTCTGTTTGGAAGGTGTTTGTCGGAAATAGAGTATAGTTCCCTTGTTTTTTTAAAAAAAAAAACTGTGTTTACATGAGGAGGAGTGGGTGAGGTTCAAAACCGCAACCCTTAGGTCCAAGGTGGTTGGCCATTACCGAATCCTCATAGTTCACAGTATTTTTTTTTGGTCACTATTTATACAGGGGAGGGGGACTTGGTGAGACTCGAACCCTACACTAGGAGGAGGCAAGGCGAGAAAGGCACTAACCAATAGGTCATTCCTCTTTGCGCCCCATAGTTCACATTCATTGTGTTAATGGTTACCAGGGTCAAATAATAGGTTGTGGGGTGCAGTGGTACAATACGGGTATATTGGAGATTTTCAACGTGTATTTGGTATTTGAGTTTTACCTGATTTAGTTATATCACTAATTTTGAGATTAAATGTAACTGTTTTAAGTGATTGGCTGTGATTAAGAGTTTTTAACTACACTAATGCCTATAAATAAGTTGTACCCCTATTGGATTCTCATAAAGTGAAATCAACTGCTCCCATAGATGCAAGGGACGCACTTGTATACAATGGGTCCGACTTGAATGGATGGTAGGGAGAAATGTTCTTTCACATCATCAAATAGTTGGAAAAAGAAAAAAAAAAAAAAAA